TGATGCTGAGAGTACAATCAAAGGTATATTGGATAGATGTGTTTGTTGAATGGGTCCAGAAAGTCTAGGGCAGTGCTGCAAAGAGAGTTAGAACATTACTTCCCACCTGGAACTGATAATACAAACAGAGGCAGTGGAAAGCATCATTCCCTTGCAATTCATGGACAGACCTATGGCACTGACTGGAATTAAGCTCCGTCAGAAAAATAGCCTTAGATGTATAACACATTTCTGCATTTCATGCAACACACACCAGCATGTTTGGATTAGGTGATCTTAGTGGTTTCTTCCAACTTTAATGATTCTATGCTATCTCAGCATTTTCAAATGAAGAGTTTTGGTGACTTACATACAACATTGGCACGGTGGTCACCAGCTTCATCTGAGTGTCCTTTGCTTCAGGTCTTGGTAGCTGTGAATGTCCATCTTTAACACCTCTTCCTCTCCTTACAGTACTGATATCACTGCTACATGTTATTATGAGTGCTTTTAGCACTGCTGCAGGGCTCCTAGGTCTGTCAGAGAGCAACATAGACAGGGCATTTGGACAGTGGAAAAGGTAGAGCTTTGAGGATGAGTCTCACATACTGGAATAGAGGTTGGGAAAGGACAAGGAGGTGACCTGCTGAGGTACTGGATCCCCCCTCCTCTAGTACTTCACTGTATCACTTGGGAAAATGATGACAAGGATTGCTATTGAAGAAGAGACACAGCAAGAGACTGGACAAGTCAGAAATCAGTATAGTCATGAAGAAATAAAATTAATAATAAAAATCTAAGAAAAAGAGCTACATTAAAAATTCCTACTTTGAAGAATACCTAAGAGATCTAAGAAACTACTTGTAAAAGAAAGTTGCATAGCAGACTTTGTGCTTAGAACCACAGAAATGATGTCTTAGTTTCTTTTGAGGCCTGAGGCGTTTAAGAACTGTTTTGTATTCATCACCTCCATCCTATTCACTTTGGAATTGCTGTCCAACTCAAGAGGTGACCCTCAAGATAAAGCAGTTAGACACACTGAAAATGGGATCTGATAGGATTAGTCAAATGATGCCATTGCTATGCAAAGTTGCCAAATACAGCCACACACCAATTGAAGGGCTTTTGCCCAGTGATTCACCCATCTGTGACTGTTGTAGAAGATCCACTCATAAATGATTGAAATCCATCCTGTGGACAGATTTGCCACTTGGATTTAAAATTGCTAAAATAACTCATACTACACCAGCCAAGCATTAAGTTAATGCCCTCTTAAGCTTTTGCACACAAAGCAAATATCTCTGTTCACAGTACCTCACAGAACATTAATCCAATTACTATTTCTGAGGTGAGAAATGAAGCAATTTTAGTCATACTTCAGGGTTTAATTCAAATTATAATAATGGTATTTTAAAAATAAACATCTTTAACTAAAAATTGTTTTCCCCACAAGATTATGGTTTTTTTGTTGTTTGATGGATGACTATAACAGTAAGAAATCAGCATTTTAATGGCTCACCTAAATACTACACAAAGATGTAAATATTCAGTGTAATGTGCAGGAAATTAGTAGTAGCATTAGCAGTAATGGGACTTGCATGGCTAATTCTCCACATAGCTGGCTGAACATGTCTCCCAAAGTACCCATCAAGAAATACAAACTTTCAATTACATTTTAAACTAAAATAGGCTTTAGAGGCTTTCTTTCTTTCTCTAAGCTCAGTCTCAGTAAGACTGAAGTTCAGCGCTTCACAATGTTACTGCTTTATTAAAAGTAAATAGAGTAAGATTCAAACATTAAAGAAGAATAATTAAAAAAAAAACCACTGACAGAATACCCTCACTGGAGATCTAAGTCTCTTTGGATCATGTATATTCGTTTATGCAGCATCTTCACTCCATGGTTGCAGTACTTGAGAACTTCACAGCTTCAGTGTATAAAAGACACTCCCTGCGAGGTAGGAAGTGAAAAGATAACTTTGCAATGGACTTGATATCCTTCACCTCTGCACCTTTGCACCTTTGACACTAAACCATACTTCATTTCGAGAAATGCTGATGAGCACCTCTGCAGCAAAACAACCTAGCAAGGCAGAAAGAAACAAGTTTGACATCTGAACCTAAGCCATTTATATTATGTCAGCATTTCAACTTGTGGTTTAGACCTACCAAGAAGGAGACATTGATGGAGTTAATTGTAAATGACTGTCTTCCTTTTCTGTGTCTTTCAGAGAAAAGGGTCTGACTTCTGCCATGAGCAGCTTACACTTTTCAAGATAATACCAGCAAGCATCACTGTAAAGATCTAGGTCATATGGGGTTCCCTAGATAGAAAGAAACTGACGGTTAGTAGAAGATGTGTAAGACAGAAATAAAGCAGTGCAGGACCAAACAGGGCTCTGATTTGATAAATTATATTTTATGACTTATTAAGATGATGTTTCAGTTACATTTAAGATTGGACACCACTTGCCACATATTAGAAATGACAGCTACATTCTAGTAAGAGATGTTGTAGTCACTTGACATTCCTGCTCTTCACTTCTGACTCACCCTGCCTCCTTCTAGTGTGAATTTCTTGTCTGTGAGTGAAAAGACTTATCTGTAGAATTTCACTATTTATTATGCAGCTTTCAATCATTTTCAGTGCACCTCTGGACAGTTCTTAAGCTACGTAGACAGCCATTGAGTAGCCAAGTAACACCTTGGGGTTACAGCAGAGACTTCCAGGAGAACTTTTCAGACACAGTTAAAAAACAAACAAAAAAGGTGAAATGTATCAAATGATAGGAAGTATTAGGAAAACAACAGACAACGAGGCAAAAATACAACTGCAAGATTGAATAAATCTGTCTTACGCAAACAAAATAAATACAGCGTGCAGTTCTGTTTCCCTCATCTAAAATAAATAAGAAAATAAAATAAAACAGTAATATCAAAACTGGAAAAGGCCCAAAGAAATAAACCAAAAAGGATGATAAAATATATATACTAATGTGTCCAGAAGGAGTGGTTGGAAAAGCCAGGATATTTCAGGCTCCCAGAATGACAACTAAGGGCAGAAATGAGATCTACCTGATACTGAATAGCATGGAGAGGGTAGACTGGAATCATTTGCCAGAAAGAGTTAGGTTAGTAATGCACAGGGTAGCAAATGTGTGAAAATCCTTGTCAGAGAGCTCTGTGGCTGAAAGAACTCTATTTCATCTGCAGGGAAGACTGGGTGAACACATGAAACAGGCACGCACAGGAGTTAACGGGGAAACAAAGCACACCTGGTTCACGATACCCGAAATGTAAAAAAAAAGTCAAAGGCTGGAGAATGTTGCCTTATTCTTCCTTTCCCCTCATTATGAACTTGTGAGCACTCCTGAAGACAATACAAAGCTAGATGGCATACAAGGCCCTTGTACAAAGATTAATTAAGGTGGGAAATTAACTGGGAAATTCCTGATTAACTTAAGATTCTACTTGAAGACTGACACAGATTTTAAATCAAAAACAATCTAATAAACTTTTTATCTCCACAAAAAAGAATTTCCAGGAAATGTTTTCCAGGGAATGGTTTTAAACTGAGACAGGGGAGGTTTAGGTTAGATATGAGGAGGAAGTTTTTCACACAGAGGGTGGTGACACACTGGAACAGGTTGCCCAAGGAGGCTGTGGATGCCCCATCCCTGGAGGCATTCCAGGCCAGGCTGGATGTGGCTCTGGGCAGCCTGGTCTGGTGGTTGGTGACCCTGCACATAGCAGGGGGGTTGGAACCAGGTGATCATTGTGGTGCTTTTCAACCCAGGCCATTCTGTGATTCTACGATTCTACGAAATGTCCCATAATCCAAACTAGCCAGGCTAAACCCCTATTCACCTCTTCTCTGATCAAGAACAACCTTCTTGGCAGAGCTAAACAATGTACTGTCCTTCTGATTATCTGGTAAGAGGGAGGAGATGAAGCAAAGAAGGCAGAGACTACTCCAGAAGTCTTAAAAGACTTCAAATCAGTCAGTGAAAAATGTGGATTTTCTACTTTTTAATTTATTCCTAAAATTCCCTGGAATTTTTATTAACCAGACTATTGTTCATATCTGCATGCGTTAGAGAAGCAGCAGGATCAGAATTACTTTTCTAATGAAGAAAGAAAAATTAAAAATGCTTCAAAAGCATTTTAATCAAATCTGTTTATGAATGCAAGCCCATGATGTGACACCTCTGGTCTGAAGTTAAAAGGCATTCTGAATACCTCTCCCAAGCCTGAATAGTTTTACAGAATAAATGTTTACTAGTAAGTATGGTGGATGAATTGTAAAAACAAATATTTGCTCAGCTGATTCACCATCTTCTTTTTTTTTTTTTTTTCCTGACTATGGTTTGTATCTTCTTGCATTCAGAAATGTTATGATCTGGATGATGAATGAAATCTTTACCATGATAAATTTTACCACTGACTTGAAAGGCACTAAGATTTGATACAGAATTTCTAAGGTCTTACATGAATGAACATTTACTTCACTTGCTAAAAGTGTCTTGCGTGGAAACTCCTTTTTCAATTAGGGTGATTTGTAGGGATTTGTCTTGAGCTGATACTGACTTAGGTCAACCCTATAACAACAGACAAATGGGCGCAAAACACAATCCTGCTAAACAATTTTTAATCAAATTGGTTCAACCTTCTCCTGCAGTAAAGTAAAACTGCTTATGTGACCTTCCAAGTGAAACCAAGAATATTAGACATATCACTGCTGTAATGAAAGCTGATCGTTAGTTTTAAGGGTGAGAATGCTCCTACAGATCCAGTGGCAATGAGAAAGTGTTGGGAAAAAAGGATGGGTCTTCATTAAATTGCAGTCATGTGGCAGTTTTCAGCTACAAATCTGGCAGTACTTTTTTTTTTGAAATTGTGTCTCTTTTGGTTATGCCTGTTGGTGGACTGCTGGGAAGCACGGGAGGAGCTCTGCCATTTCAGGCTCCCCAGGCAAAGCACTGTACGTGTGTTCCAGGAATGCCCTAGGTGTGAGATCTCACCAGCAGCCGATGCTCTTGTCAGCAGGGAAATTCTGCCGTGGTCCAGGTGTTGTGGGTAGTTTCTGTAGCCACTAACTTTCCTGAGTGATTGTTTCTGGGGCAGCTGCTGTAAACCGTACATGGAAATCACAGTGTGAGACTTGCCAATATGCTGGAAAAGACAAAAATAACCTATGTGAGCCGGAGGAAATGTTTATCTCCAAATAAAAGCTGCTTTAAAGTGCTAATAGATTTCTCTCTTCCTTTCATACTCAATTCAGTGTAATTGTTTTGATGAATATATTAATGTACAGTAAACCTCTTCTGCTTCATTATCATTTGGGGGACCTTTCTGCAATATCATACAGGTGATTCTCAACCAAATGTGAATTGGTTTTGAAGCAAATTACACTAAAATGCATTGTATCAGATTTCTACCAATCCCAAAGCTATACCACAGCTTTTGTTAACAGTAGCTAACATCTTCCCCTCAAATCAACACACAGGATTTTATTTAGATCATGAAGACAGTTTCAGAAAATGCTGCCACATATTCCTCAAGAAATCAAGAAACGAAGAATCACTGAAAAAGTTTGGTTTTGTCAGGGAAGTATGTTAGAAGAAGATCTCAATTTGAACCATGTTGCGCTCCTTAAAGACTGTGGGAGAGAGCAATGTTGGCTCAGTTGTAAAGACTGTTTTCCATGACACAATGGAAGCTTTATTACCAGCTCTTGCCAGCACAAGTCTTTTGATAGAGAAAACAGTGTATCTGTAATAACAATGCATTAAAAAGGCAACAGAATGTTGAAATGCTCTACTGGAAAAATATCTATCTTTGGGAACATAATGTAAGTATCTGGGAAGTTCTGTGTTTATTGAGTAATGCTGAAATGCCATCCCTAGAATGAGTTATCTCAGAGACTGCACATAAAGGAAAGATTGCTGAGCACAGAGCAGTAAGACTAAGTGAAGAAACCATATTAAATGAATCGCTTATCTGGATCCTGCCTCTCAATTCATATATTAGAGGACTAAGAACAAACTTGTGGAAGCTCTTCCTCAGTTGGATGTGCAGCTGTTCTCTACTCTCCTAGGAGTCTTCATGATCATTTTTCTTCATTGACGATACAGAACAGCTTCTCTGATAACTCAATGAGAATACATAGTCATCAGATCTACAAGAGGCCCTACAAAACTGACCACAGACATGCAATACAAGTTTGAGTCTGCCTGTAATTCAGCAAGTCCACCTCCATCTGCACTTGACAATTTTTCTGAGGTATCTTTTGCCATCAGAGGTAGTATTTTCCCAGACCTGAAGGTGGAACTCTTGTTCCTTTGAAGATCTCTATATGATTGTCATAGCATTTTGCATTGTCATTTCTTTTCCTTGAAGAAGTACAGAATTCTAGGAAGTCACTGCTTGGTTGTCTGGGAGATCACATTAACAACAGTAGCAAAACTGGACAGTCAGGTTTGAACTTTGTGAGCACAATGAGATGTGCAAGGAGCTCTTCAGACAATGCCTGTCTGCACTCATAAAAAAAAAAAATCTTTCTTTTTGGAAACATCCTTGATATCCTATTCCTTCTTTTGCTGCCACATACGTAGATTTCTTGGTCTTCTTCTGGAGCCAAGGCATTTAAGGACAGAAAAGGCAGAGTATAACTTCATAGTCATAACATCACCACATCAGACTGCACAGAATATCTGCCTATATATTTTGCATCAAAACTTCCACTTTGTGTCCTTAATCTACAGTATATCTTTGGGGAAAAAAAAAAAAACCACAAAAAAACAATCCAATTGCATTTGATGTTCCTCTAGGTTTGTTTTAGAGTATTAGCAAAAGCTTTATTCTGGGAGTTCATGTCCCATTATGTACCATAATGCCCAGACTCCTGTCGGTGGTGCCTCATGCCAGTCACTCTCCTTCAGATTCCAAGGGTGGCTCTGAGGCCTTATTTTGAATGTCAGCCTTCAAGTGGACTGTCTTAAGAATATTTTTACAAATGACATTAACATTACTCACTGTTACTACTATTTACAACAGCAGTCGTAACTTTGTAATTTGTAATTCTGTATTTTTGTCTAAGTCATTGCTAATAGCACCAAGCCAAGAAGAAGCTTCCCCAAAACACATCCATATGATAAAACTTCATTTACAGTCACTTCTCTTGAGAGCTCCCAGTTGAATCAGTTTTTAATGCACTTGCAATGAACTACAGACTTAGTCTATGCTGTATTTGTGAAAACGGCATACAGTTCTAACTTAGATGAAACCTATTAAATCAACACTATTACCTTTATGAACTAAAATTATACTCAAGTGTATTTAATCTAATCTTTTCCATAAAAGTGTATTCAGCAGCATTTAATTATGTGTATTTAATGACTGCACCCCAGATCAGCACTTCCATGTTTCTTCCAGAGTACCCATATCAAACCGGTTATGCTATGCCAGATCAAATTATCTTTACCATTTTTTAAATATATAAGCAGTGTAAACATTTTTAGTACTTTTTTTTGTACTTTAGCACTCTCCAGCCATGTTGTGAACAACAGAACTAATTAAGGCTATGGATTCTGTGGATTTGGATTCTTTAGCCCCTAAACAATTTTAATTGCAGTAACTATGATTTCCTCTTCATGTGCCCTACAACAATCACATCTATTACTCTGGAATGATGTGTATGCAAAGTGGATGGCTGATATACAAGTACTGAATGATCGCTGCTAGGAAGAATATGTAGGAACTGATGTTCTTGCCTGCTTTTCTCTGGCTGAGGAAACAAATTTAGGTTTAAATTCCAATTTCCACAAAACTTAAATAAGCAGAATAACTTTCTCCAAACTACATCACAACTAGTCCAAGGGATATGGAATGACAGACAGATGGACAGATAACATAAAGCTTGTTTAGAACATAAAAATCAACTTAAACTCGTCAGTTCTCTCAGTACAATTGAGGACAGTTAAAAAATGTTCTATGCCAATAGTGGCACTGCATCCTCATTAATTGTTGCTATAGAGATATTGTCAGATAGCCAGATAGTTCAACTAACAGATAGTTATCTCTATTGAGAGGTGGCAAAATGACCAGAAGTGACAGCAGGCTGCCCTTGGATATTTGCTGTGTAAGTGAAACCTGTGCTGTCAGTACACCTACATAGAGGAGCAGCTCTGCTAGCCAGAGGTTGGAATACTGGGATAGCAACTGATTATCTGTGCAAGATACAAACAGAATTCACTTATTTTCAAATTAGAATTTTCATTACTTACTTTCTGAATAATGTAAGCAAAGAAGGACTCGGCGACAGGGGAGTAGAATCTCACCGGTATGACCTGGGCTGCTTTTGTCCCATCCTAAGGAGAGCTTCAAAAACGGGAAAGGGTCTGGAGGGCAAGATGTATGAAGAACAGTTGAGGTCCCTTCATTGGCTCGGCGCAGAGCAGAGGAGCTGAGGGGAGGCCTGATGGCGGCTGCAGCTCCTCACAGGGAGCGGAGGGGCAGCGCTGAGCTCTGCTCTGTGTGACAGAGACAGGGAACGGCATGGAGCTGCGTCAGGGGAGGGCAGCTGGGGGTCAGGGAAAGGGGCTGCAGCACAGGGCGGTGGGCATGGAACGGGCTGCACAGGGCTGTGGGCACGGCCCCGAGGGCTGGAGTTCATGGAGCGTCTGGACATGATCTCAGACACAAGGTTTGTATGTGTGTATGTGTGTATGCGTATGTGTGTATGCGTATGTGTGCGTCACGCGGAGCCCGCAACGCACCGCCAAGGAGGAGCGCAGCGTGGCCGCATCCCAGGCACGGCCGCCACTTGGTGAGGGGCCGCAGCGGTGGGACGGCGGGAGCACCGACGGGGGAGGAGGGAAGAAGGGGACGAGGGGGGAGGGGCCGGAGCGGCCGCCAGGTTCCGGCGATGGCGGTCCGGCTGCTTTCGGTTTCGCTTCGCTCGCCTCAGAAGCGAGGGCAAGGCCGGGCCGGGGCCTGAGCGCGGATCCTCCGCACGGTAGGAGCCCGCCTCGGGGCTGGGAGCACGCGGGGCGGTGGTCTGAGCCGCTCCGCTCCCGCAGCCGCGGTGTAGGCCTCGGGTGGGCCACCGTCCCTCTGAGAGGCCCCGGGGTTCGTCCCGGTCGGGCTGCGTGTCCGACCTCCCCTCTCTCCTCCTGGGAGTGTGGCGTCCCGGGAGCGGGCAGGGGCCGGCCCTCCCTCGGAGGGGTGAGAGGGACGGGACAGGCAGCGTGCGACTAAAACAGTGCGGTGTGTGGTTGAGCGCTGTGTTCCCCCAGGTTTTATAAACGGCGGTCTCGCTTGGCAGAAAGAAAGCGGAGTCGTCCACCGGCAGCTTTGATGTAGGACGTAATCGTTCTCTTTTTCGCTCCCCCACCTTGCTGCCTGTGTAAGCAGGGTGCAGGAAGCTCTGCCCTTGGTCACCTGTTGCAGCTGTAGTCCGGGAATACGGACAAGTCAGAAGTAGGGCTCTAATTGAGGGTTGAAGTATGTTCTGGCCGCATATGGTGGCTGTTAGTCCACGAGGAACTCGCTCTTCCTGTTTAGCTTTGCTCCAGAAATGCTGACGTGTTGGTCTCGTGCCTTTTGTATCCATCTGGATGAATAGGTGGCTGTGCTGTCTGGCCTTCTGCAGCTGGCAGAGAGCTGGAAGGGCAGCCCAGGGTTTGCTGGGGTCTCCTCACATGCAGTCGTGTGCCCACTGCTCTGTCTAGGTGGTGTTTGCCTTGCTATGTGATCCACAGGGTTGTGACCTGCTGGGATCTGCAGGCTGTTGGGTACAGTCACCAATTCTGGTGGTTCCACAGGAGACCCCCTGCATATAGCTCTCAGCCCTATTAGCATAGATGTGTTTTTGTGTCACTTTGTCAGTGCTTTGGGACAGGTCACAATACTGTATTTTAGCCTCAGGTCCTTGTCACAGCCAGCAGGGAAAGATGGAACTTCAGAGCCAAAGTGCATGGTGGCTGTACCTCACCACAGGAGTGTGTTCCTTGCTAACTGCAGAGCTCAGCCTAGCGAACAGCAGTGAAAGCTCACTGCCACTCGGTTCTGGGGCCTTCACGTGTTACTGAGGAAGCTACTGTGTATCTCTGCTTTCTAGCATCTGTATTCTAACTGTTTGAATATAAACTTCTGATAAAAGGAGAAAGCTTTTTGACCTTACAACCCTTAAAACAAGACATCTATGCTTGAGGTACTGTTTTTGGTGGCATTGATTGTTTGAAGTGTTAGAAGTGACTTTGCTTCAAATAGGACCATTATATTGCATTTCTTTGGGTAAATAGAACTCTTCAGGCTTATTCTGCATTTTTTCCTACTGTATTTCCTACCAAAGGACACTTTGCAGCTTAACATTTGATCCGTGCAACCGCATTTACTGAAATTTGTGATATGTTACTGTACAGTGTAAGAATCTTCTCATTGACTGCAACTGTGTGAATGTGATTTCTGTGCACTGCCACAGAGGAAGTTCTGTCAGAATTAAATTGATACTTTCACTGTTGGGAATTATGTATGTGAAAATATATATTCCCCCCTCTACTCAGCTCTTGTGAGGTCCCATCTGGAATACTGTTTGGATAGTGATAGGACAAGAGGGAATGGTTTTAAACTGAGACAGGGGAGATTTAGGTTAGATATTTGGAGGAAGTTTTTCACACAAAGCTTGGTCTGGTGGTTGGCGACCCTGCATGTAGCAGGGGGGTTGAAACTAGATGATCATTGTGGTCCTTTTCAATGCAGGCAATTCCATGATTCTGAGAAAATCTTTTTACCCCTTATATTATCTAATTTAAATGATGAAACAAGACAGTGTATGCTGCTTGGACTTTTCCTTTTTTGAAAGAGGAAGTGAGTTGCTATATAAAGATTTTGTGTGCTTTATATAGGCATTTATTTAATAAAGATCAGGCCAGTGGGACATCTCAGGCTCTATTACTCTGTGAGAAGTACATTCAAACAAGAGGCCATAGACTAATCCTTTATGTAAGATACACTTAAATGATTTTGAAGATACTGGACTGTTTTGAGCAGTAAGAGTCATAGGTGGTTTTCATATTAGGTACAAACACTTAAGTTAATGGTATGTATAATTTAATTTTAGTTCCAGTTTGGGGCCAGTATGTAAAAAATGTAAATATTAATAAGGATATAATTTTAATTTTTGAATTTTTTAATTTTAAATTACTGATGTAATGACACAGTCTTGTCTTGGGCTTTTTTTGCTCAAACTGAGCTATATTTTAGACACTCACAGGAGTGTGTTCCAGGCTGTCAGGAGTCTGTGATGTGGTGAGGAGCAGCTGTGTAGAAAAGACTTCATGATATTGAATGTGAGGCTCAGCACACTGTTGCAGAAGAAGATGGGCAGGCACACTGAAGGATGCATTGAGAATGTGGTTGGAGGACAGCAGGTTGAAGCAGTGGATCTTCCCCTCTGTTCAGCACTGGTGAGACTGGCCAACACGGATAGGGGCTGGAACACACAGTGTTAAAGGAGAAACTGGGTGAGGTGAGTTTGATCAGCCTTAGGAAGAGAAGGTAAAGGAAGGGGAGATGTCACTGCTGGCTGTGGGAAGGCATGAGGCATACTCTGCTTGGAGGTATGCAGCAGTAATATGAGAGACACAGGAAGTTCCATATGAATATGAGAAAAAACTTCTTTGCTGTAAGGAAGACAGAGCACTCGCACAGGCTGCCCAGAGAGTTGTGGAGTGTCCTCTGCAGAGATTCAGAACTCACCTGGACACTTTCCTGTGCGACCTGCTGCAGGAAGCCTGCTGTTGCATGGGGTTGGACTAGATGATCTCCAAAGATCCCTTCCAACCTCCATGATTCCCTGAAAGGTGGTGGACACAAGCTGGTCTACTCACAATGAAGGGTTTTTGTCTTATTGATGTGTTGTTAATCTGAAAATGATCAAAGACAGGAGCAGAGGGCTGGCAAGGGTACAGAGTGTCCATCTGACAGGGCAGGGCCTCTGCAGCCACATCTAGCTTTTGCTAGGAGGCTTCTGAAATTCCATTCCAGCCTATGCTATGCTGTTACTCTGAGATTACTGGAGAAACAGTGTTCTTGCTTTGGAAATTAACTATGAGTGTTATTCTTAGGAAAACGCAAACACAATAAAGTATGCAAGAAAGCTGAGATTTCTTTGTCATTACATCTGGAACTGACATACCAGAAAACCATGTAATTTTTAACTGCGTTTGAATTATATTAACTTCAAACAAAGAGGTACTACTTTCTTGCATTTTTTTTTTCTTATCAATAATTTATAGCTTAGAATTTTTGTTACAAATGCAGCAATATCATGTGAGGAAAAAAGCAGAAGACCTGAAGGGGATGTAAGGAGTTTGTCTATTTCTTTCTTAGTTTCTCATCCCTTGTTTGCAGTGTATAGTAGGCAGCAGTGCCTTAAAGCATCTTACAGACCCTGTTGTTACTGAGTTTACAGCCTGGGAATTAGGAAGGTGGAGAAAGTGATTACCCAGAGCCCTCATGCAGCTAAATACTTGGATTTAAAACCAAGGGCTTTATCACCTTACCTGCTCAAGACCTATGGCTGTTAGCTACACTAACTCTCCTTCACAGTAGTCCAGTTGGTAAGTTATCTGAACTGTTGGTTTTGACACTCGTCAATCTCTAAATACCAGTAAGGGGTAGGTACCAAATTAGGATGAATTCAACTTGTCTCAGAACAGCTGAGACCAGAATGAGTTCTGTTTTTCCACTAGCACATGCCGTGCAGTGAGCTCAAAGAACTTGTGTCATCGCTTCTTCAACATGATTCTATTAGAAGAAAAGCATGACTTGGATACTGAATTTCTTTAAGGAACCAAATTTTAATTAATTCTAGCTCATAAACTAGTGGATTAGCTTATAAGCTGCCAGGAAATTAAATGTGTATTCAAAGCGGAAGTAGTGCGGTTTGGTGTATAATGCTTTTCATCTTTTGTTCGTGGCAAGAAGAATCCAGGCTAAGCTCAAGCTGGAGTTCAGCCATGAGATACGAGTGGCTCTTTCAAAGGGGTCGGGGACCAGGCCTACTGGTTTTAGAATGATGGGAACAGTGAATCAACACGCAAGGATTTAAAGTTCTTTTCTCTTCCTGAAAGAAGTGAGGCCGCACGCTGCATGTTTATTCGAAGATTTGGACAAAGAACTATTAATGCTGAATGCGTGGAGTTAGAAAGGGATTTGTAAGGCTCTTTGGTGGCGTATCTCCGTGCAGTTTGAAGTGGGGATGATTTAGTAATGCTTGCAAAATCAACCGATGAAATAATTTTCTTCTGCGGTTCTGAAGAAGGACAAGATGTTTCAGTGGTAATTCTACAGTGAAGTCTTACAGGTTGACTTCCTCTAACTTGTTCAACTTCTCATCTTCCTTATTGAGTGGAATACATGAATGGGGAAAGTCATCTTTTAGCATTCTTTTTTTTTTTTTTTTTTTTTTTCCTCCAGAAAATCTCAAAATTGTTTTATTTGGAGTTGTTTTGGAAAATGTGATGAATCTGGAACTTTATGTAGAAACCCAGCTTTTCTTTGCCTGAAGTTCTTTTACCTTTTCCCCTGGCCTGGTGGAAGACACTTACACTTGGCTCCTTCAAAGGTTAAGGGAAGGTGTAGGTGTCATCCCTGCAGTGTAGGTACCAGTGCAGGGACTGCCCACTGTCTGTGGTTAGACATGAGAAAAATAATGTATATTTTTAATAACACTAATCTGCTTGGCTGCCTGAAAAATGATATATTTTTTTAACCTGTTATATTGTGTAAACAGGAAGATTATGCTAAGTCAATTATTTGAAGTTAGTTTGATTACTGGAAGAGTAAAATCAGAGAAAGCCTTCTGCTGAAGGTGCTGTTGCAGTACAAGCAATTTAAGGCAACTAAGTCAGCACGTCTTTTTCAACACAGTCATGGCAAAACTTTCTACCATTAATTCAATCTCGTTTTTGTTAAAAAAAGAATGTGAAGAAAGAAAATCTCATCTGAATAACCTCTGTTTATACAGTACTGAAATTACAAAATTATCTCGCAGTAGTTTTTCTTGCCCTTTATGTGCATTCAGCATAATGGCATTCCTTTGCGCTACTCACGCGCACACATTTAAACGCTATTATTTACAGTTATGTGCATGTTGTTGCCTACGTATCGTATTTTAGAGAAGGGAGACTTGAAAATTAAGCTTTGTGCTTATGCAGAGAACAGAATTCAAGCTGCTTGTGTGCTGATTCTACAAATATTTCAGTAACCTGTTCATACTCTCTGCTGGGTGATGCTGTGATGACTTCAGGAAGGGACAAATGCAACTTGAAGTAGAAATTTTCAGTCAGAAGCTTTTACTTTTTCTGGAAAGTGAGCTTCCAGAATTACTGTCTTTTCACGGTATGTGTTACAACTTTAAAGGTGTTTCAAGATGTAAATTGGCAGAGCTTGAGCTCAAGGAATGCATCTAATCATGGATGTTATTTCAACAAGGGCTTCCACCTATCTTTACGCATCTTTATTTGCAGCTACCTTAATTATTTAGCTATTTCTTGTTACAGTTAAATTTTTATTTATGAAAGTAGATTCCCAATGCCTGTAACTAAACGGGAGTAATGCATTCAAATGCAAATAAAAATGCTAATAGGGTATCATTTTTTAGGTAGGTAATACTGTACTCAAGCACAGTTTTGTTGGAAAAGCTGAATTACCTTATTTTGCTTTCTTTTAAAAATCTAAATGACTGTATTTTTGTGAGCCTGCAATTTTTTTTCCTCTCTCTTTCTTGTAGGGAGTTTTACCTTGGTAAAGGCATACTGGACGAGTAGCAAGTATTGCCTTCCTTGCAAGGTGCTTTTAGGATGTCTGAAGACGATGAAAAAGTTAGGCTCCGTCGAATTGAACCTGCCATTCAGAAGTTCATTAAAGTGGCAATTCCAACAGATTTGGAAAGATTAAGAAAACACCAAATAAATATTGAGAAGGTTAGTGTTCACTTTTTGCTAATGTAGGTCTTTTTACAGCAGTCGCGCTGAAAGGTGATTGCGTGGATTTTATAATGTTTAAATGCTTCTGGTTGATATTGGTTTGTATGTGATAATGAGACTGAATATGCTTCCAAGAAAAAATCACCGTTGAGTTAAATTCTTGTGTATGCTTCAAATAGTAATAAAGTGAACATGCCCAGGGCAGTTGTGGCACGAAATGCCTAATGTCCATATTATTAAACCCCCATATTCTGTAAAACACAGTGGCTGCATCCACACTGCTGTGTTAACTCTAACTATCATCAGAAGTTCTTTAAATAAGAGCAATCTGATGCAGCCAGAACTGTGCCAGGGACAGCTGTAGCAATTAGCTGTGTAAGTGATCAGATTCGAACGTCCCCTCTCTCTGCTTAGTGGTTAAAAAAAAATACGTAGCCTGTGGAAACAAACAGATTGGTTTGTCAAGAAAGGTGATAAGAGGTTCACTAAAACAAGTATTAATGTTAATAAACATCTGAAGGGGGGCAAATGAATGAGGCCAGGCTCTTCTCAGTGGTGTATAATGATAGGACAAGGAGTAATGGCCTAAAACTCAAATGTAGGAAATTCTGTACCAACAGGCAGAAGAACTTCTTTACAGTAAGGGTGATGGAGCACTGGAACAGGCTGTCCAGAGAGGTTGTGGAGTCTCTGGTGAAGATACTCAAGACTTACCTGGACTCCTAGCTGTGTGACCTGTTGTAGGGTACCTGCTTTAGCTGGGAGTTGGACTCGGTAATCTCTTGAGGTTCCTTCCAACCCCTACAATTCTGTGACAGCAAATCAATAACTAAATAAATAAGGAAGAGAGTGAGTGACTTGGAAGACGTGCTTGTTACTTTACTGTAACTTTACCAAATAGGCAATCATGTGAATGAGATTTTTTGTGCAAGATTTATGCCTTGCTTGAGGATGGGGAAGAGGGAAAACAAATCTTATTATAGTTTCTGGGAACGTAGTCAGGAAATAATGTGTTTAAGTGATAGCCATCTATGCTTATAAGAAATGCTTAGTTTAAGTGATTGTAAGTGAACAGTATGTTATTAGTAGTCATTTCTTCGAAATATAGTGACGTGGTTGGAACAGTCACTTGTGGTTTGTTTGTGGGGTGGTCTTTGGAAGGACTGCACATTTTGCTGTGCCTCTGGAAGTGTGCCGTGTTTTGGTCAAGAGGGATGATTCTGGAAAATAAAAAAAGGTTGTTTGCAGATGCTCAGTAGATGCTGGTTAAACTCTACCAACCAAAGGTTACTGAAGGATTTAGCCAGTGCTGGGGCATGCTCGAAAGGAAACTTCTTAGCTCATTCCTAGATGAAGAATTGTGAAGAAGTATGTTGGGATGGAAGTTGACAGTGCAGAAGTGACTGACTGTGAGAAGATAGAAAAAACTGAGACAGAGGAGGGAAGATCTGGCACTGTGAGGACTAGTGATGGCAAACAATAGTGGGGCTGTTTCCTTGTAAGAGCATAGTAAGGATGCAATTAGGATATGAACTGCAGTATTCACAAATTAAAAAGTTTAGTAGTATATTTGCCTGAAGCAGTGGCTTCTTAGCGAGATGAACTGTATTTTTCCAGCCTGTTGTTTACACTTTGTTGTTCATTGTTTGTCTAATAAATTTTATTACCTAGATGCCAGTGGATTCAGCATTTTCTTGCCTTGGAACTAGCCACTTTGCAGCAGCCCCATTTTATTCTAGTGGCCAGAAGCTGATCTCCAGCTTCTCCCACCAAGAACAATTGCTTGAGTTCCTTTGTGCTGTAGCCAGACTACAGAGCAGTACTGATTCAGAGTCAGTATTAATTGCTTTTGGGTGAGAATACTGGGGAAGCAAGGAGCCTTAAGTGTTAAATACCTCAGGAGAAGCTTCTAGGATCAGTGTGTGCATATTCTGGTGCACGTGGCCATAGAGTTAGTTAATGGTAAAGAGTGATATGGAATAGGATGGGATGCAGAGGGTTCTTAGAGGAGAGCTTTGTAGTGTTTTTTCCATGCAGGCTGTTTCATTCAAATAGAGAGAGGCTTGGTAGCTAAGTTGTTGCCTTCTTTCTCTTAACCAGAAGTTTCCCAGCTGTCTCTGGAAGCAGCATAAAGAGGAATCTCCTGGTTGCACAGAGGCAGAGTTTTGTAGGTTAAAAAAAACAAAAACAAAAAACAAACAAACAAAAAACCCCAACAAACCAACAAAAAGCCCCCACCCTCACTTATTTAGCATCCATAAGCTCCCTGCCAAGGGGCTTCCTGTGACTTTGAATGCTGTAATGAGAAACAGAGAGGTGATTAGTGTGAGGGGTGGTGTTGGGAGCTGCCGCATTTAGTAGCAGCACCTAGCTGGTGAGGAGGGGTGGGCAGCTACTTGTTGATGCTACTGGAAATCTCTTAGGTATTTAAACAAGGAATAATTACGCTGTATCTAGCCAGATAGAGTTACCATGGTGTCAGGAAAGGGCTGAAATACATTCCACTTAATTCAGCCTTGTGTTGATCAACTGGCATTTTTACTGGCCCAGCAACTGAAATGAGTTAAGCATTCCTGTTCTGCAGACAGAAGGGGAATCTTTATAAGGATGATTTTCTGTGTCTAGAAGAAAATTCAGAAAATAGTAGCACTGGGGATGAAATGAGGTTTTAGATTAGTTGTGATTTAACACTTTGTTTGAAGTGCTGCCAGAGAAGCTCATTCTTAGCCACAATTTAATTATAGGAAATACAAACCAGTGTTCTTGTAATGGCATTGCTTGGCCTCATTAAAATACCATGCTTATTGAGTAGTTTATATTTTAATGTACAAATCTGATGCAGTCTAAAAGTATTTGGGACATTTCTTGAGCTTATTTAGGTTACTGACTGAACAGATCATTCACACTGATATAATCAACTTAAGAAATTTGTGTATTAGAACAATTCTTAAATATTTGCAAACTGATCTTAAAATTAAGTGCATTTCCTGCAGAACATTTCTTTTACGGAAGCCAAAAGCTAGAGCAACATTTAGTACAGGTTTGTCTTTCTTCAGACTAACGTTAATTAAAAAATTTTGTATCTTTAGACGATGCAAGTCTTGGCAGATTTGATATTTGAATTATTACTGCAGATTTGATATTTGAATTATTACTAAGTAGAATTACTAGAAACAAGTAACTACTGATAATATTTCTAAGTAAACACTTGGCAACTGTATCAGGAGCTATTGAGCAGTGTTGACAATGTCAGAACTCTGTATTGATAAGAAATACAGCTTACAGCTTTATGAGAAGTAATACATCCAAGTATAAAACTAGTCTCTGAATGCCTTATTCTTTGAAAAGTCCACACTTAGGGTAATGTTCTTAAAATTTGGAAGTTTCTTTATTTTTTAAACCAAGCTGTAAGAACTATTACTATTCCAAACTTCACATTTTTGACAGCTTTACGAGAGCACAAGAATAAAAATACATCAAAGCTGCATTTGCAATCTTTTCCTTAAGTAAGTTTTAGATTATTAGAACTCTAGCAGTAGTTTGGTTGAAATACTTCCATAGTGATTTACACTTGTATATCTTTTATATGCATTTTAGCCCATAATGAATGTGTTACAGTATTTCTGCATGCTGTTGGCATCAGCAGCTTAAGTGGTTTTCTCAAAAATATTTTTTTGTAAATTTAACTTTCAGTCATGCAAACCAAATATCTCTGGGGGTTAAAGGATAATTTTGTAGAATCTAGTCTTGTTTATTTTACAGGCTACTTTTAAGCAAAAATCACTAATTATGTCAAATTGCTTAGAGCAGCAAAATTATTTACTTATGATGAAGCCAATATCTCTAACCTCATTTCATGAATATTGATTTAAACCTGAGGTTCCAGAGATAGTCCAAACAATTAATCTACTAAATCACTGTTTGAAGAAACTATAAAATCAATATATAATGAAATGTGACCTTGAGTACACCTTTCCAAGGGAAATGCATACCATAAATCCACCATCATAGTATTGCTTTTCAAAGATGACCGTGAAACACTGTTTTGAGTCCAGTGTTCCGTATGTAAGTTCCTAAAGACTTTAAAATTAAGTTGGTAATCTATGCTTATGGGTTTTAAAAATTATTTTCCTTTTTTTTTCTTTTTTTCTTTTTTACCTTAAGATTTCTTGTTTTCTTTCACTCTGAAATAGGGAATAAAATGCATGCTTATCCAAAGGAGCTTCAAATTTGTTCATTCCTGTCTGGCGAGAGAAAGAAGGGGGTTTTGGCATGCTATCCTGAACTTTGCTGGGGAGGATTAACAGTCCCTAAGGAAAAAAAAAAAAAAACAACAAAAAAGAATTAGTGTAAACCATAGCAATCTTTTCTCAGCTGCGCTCAATTAAAGTAGTTTGCAAAACACTTGTTCTCTTTGACATGAGCCTGCTGACATGGTGAGATGATGGATGAAGGAGAAGTGACACAAAATGAGGAGCACAGAAATCTGAGTCTTAACTGCTGGCTTCATCCCAGTGTATACATTTGCCTAAGACTTCTATTATTCAAATTGACATTAATTAAGATTTAGCCTGCTACTAAAATGAATGCAGAAGGCATTCTGAAGAGTTTTGAGTTTTTTCCATGTCTAGTAAATACTTTGTGGAAGAAATGGAATGGATTCAAAACATAAACCTGAAAGTCTTTTTAAGACAGTCTTTGAAGGAGAAAAAGGCAAGCAGGCAAAGAGACTGAGTGTCTAAGAGTAACTTTTGTTTTGTATTTCTGATGTGAGTGTAACTATTTGGCTGTTTTTCTGGCACAAAAATTTTATTTGGCACAAATTAAATATGTGAGTATTCTGTCAGCTTTTTTAATTTGTGGACCTCAGTTTTATGTGTATTTCTTAATGCTAAATAGAAGTAATACCTGTGTTCAAAGTTTGCTGTGTCTTGTCCCTGGGCCCAACAAGGTGAACATTGGCAGTAGTGTGGCCTACTTTCTGATGGGCGACAAAGGTGGGTCAATGAGGAAGAGTTCTCTGGCAGCACAAATGTCATTGCTCTGCATGTATTCAGTCATGATGTTGTTTGAGGCCATACATTTGCTGGGCATTTCTAGAAATGGTGAAAAGCAAGAAGGGTTTCCTAAGGAATTATTTTTCTTCTTAATTGGAAAACCTTTTTTTCAATTGTTATTATTGAGAACATTATAATGCAGTCAATTGAAACTGAAAAAAAATATAATTTTTTTTTTCCCAAACCTTTTTTGTTTCATTCTCAGAAGTACTTGTTACTTCTTCAGGGATGACTGAACTGGAAGGCCCAATGCTGATCCAGGCTTCTAGTGAATTTTATTTTAAAGAGTAATGGCTATAATTTTAATAGTGTAATAATTTATGCAGAAGTTGCTCATTTTCAAGAAAAATAATTTTAATATGACTTACCTGAGTGTTAAGTGTTTTCTCTTTGAAAGCACTTCAAAATTGTAACATGAAGGAACAGTTTTCTCTGAATATGAGTAACTTCTTGTTTCTTGGCATGTTTTAGCAAACAGAGTAATGTGCGATCCTCATTACCCTGGCCTCTGTAACCAGAGAGATAATCAATAAAATATGCACATAGTAGATAAGATGGTATTTTAATTAGCACCAAAGCATATTAGGAAACTGGGGAGTTAAAAATTTGCATAAAAGTACATCAAAAATAGTGATAAATATTTTGTTATTTAAACAATTTAAAAGAACATCCTAATATTGTCTAGAATTTTAAATCTCTCCTTTGATGATTTCATCACTTGTTCCAGGATTTGTAACTTCTGCTTTTCTGTTGTTTTACTCGGGGCATTCTCTGCTTTGGTCATGTGTGTTACTTGGGTCAACAGGCAGTAGCAGGGATTGATACATTTTAATAATGAAAAGGTTTGTATGTCTTGATATGCAGTGATTTTTTCAAAACTTGCATTTAGCTAATGGAGTAATGACCTCTGGTCTGTCCAGTGTGAAGTGCTATGTGGATTGTTTCCCATCACAACACCAGTGGAGCTTCAGATGGGTGCCAGATTTGCCTTGGTGATCACTGCAACTGTGTAACTACATAGAAAAAATGGAAAGTGTAAATGTAAACAGTAGTGTTGTGTAATGAGCGTTGTTCTCGATGTAAATAATATCGGATACCTTGGTGTCCTATGTGACCAGTCCCCAGCCCTCGCTTCCTTTTTCCTTGCTCTTCCCTTCCTTTTACTGACCACCAAGTGATTTATGCACAGCAGCGCTGGGACACTGCTGTATTTCTTTGCCATTAAGAACCGATGCCAAAACCTGGATTATCTGCAATTCAATGAAAAAGATGTTGTGCAAAATTATCCACAAAATACATTGCCATTTAATTCTCTGATTTTGCAGCAGAAATGTCTATGACTCAGCTTTTTTTTTTTTTTTTTTACTGTTAATTTGGGAATTAAAGAGGTTTCCTTTTTCTGCTTAGCCACGTGGGGAAGGGAAAAAGCAATTATATGGAGTATTTTTTCTTTCTTTTAGTATCAAAGATGCAGACTCTGGGACAGACTGCATGAAGAGCACATTAATGCAGGACGAACAGTTCAGGTAAGGACAATAAAATCATAGTGATGTTAATGGAAATGAATCACATTATAATTCCTGATGCTTTAGAGGCAGATCATTACAGAGAAGTATATTTTACAGAGGGATTTGCCTGAAATATTGTTTTGCTTTGCTTTCTTTAAAAGGTTAGGGATTTCCTAATTTTGTCCTATGAGGCAAATACAGTCAGAAATGTTTTGAAGCAGGTGGGATGGCATGTCAGTGGGAATATCCAGAGTTCTTGAACAAATAACTTCTAGTCATTTTTTCAAGATCTTACATTAAATTATTTTGTGTACATTTATGGTGAGCTTTTTTTTGATACTGTGTATGATTTCAAGTGCATAGGTGACTGCTGATATCCCAACTAGTATTTGCATACAGCTTTATGTAAAGTGGGGGTGGGAGACTGGCATTTTGTGAACTATCCTATTACATGAGTGAGTTAGAAAATAGTGAGATAATGAGACAGTGTTAATTCTGAAGCATAGTTTCAGACCAAACATGGAACATCTACACTACTAGTTTGATGTGCACATTTTTTATTACATGCATCATATTTTCAAAGGATGAAGCACCAGACCCATTTGTCTGCATGGTGTCATCTCATTGACTTCATGCATAATCAACCATAACTCAGCACAGAAGGAATCTCATATCTGCTTTTCAAAAAAATAGAAAACATGTCCTGATGAAAATGGGTGCCAAAGGTAATGCCAAGCATTGGTAGTACACAGCCACAGTGGACTGCAGAAAAACACAAAGGCCAGATCTTCACAAGTTTTGCTGATGCAGGTACAGCAGCTAGTAGTGGCAAAACTGGTAACAGACCGATCTTAGCCAGCAGGAAAGGCATCCTGTGTTGATTTTACAGTTGTTTTTCGGAGCAGGGGCAAGACTTCGTTGCTGGACCAAACCTTTTGTAACCTATCCTGCATCGAGCAGGCCTTGCCAGAGGGGATGGCACAATCCTAAAACATCATATTTTAAAATTTTAAAATACTATGCTTGTTGCAATACTTTCCTGACACCTGTGGATAATTGGGCCAGACTGAAAATGGAAAAGGAAAAAAAAACTTGGAAAGAACTTTACTGTAATCAAACAACAGCACTAGGCAGAAGGCAGAGCTAGAGTTACCTTTTTTTCAGAAATTGAAGGTATTTATGAGCTTTTTTCCTGTAAATGATTAGAAGTTATATGTGAAATCCACTGGATTTTTCTTTTTGATTTGAGTGCTCATGGTTTTCTCTAAGCATTTTTGACATTTGAGCATAAAATAAGTTTATTCCTTGTAGCATTAAAAAAGGATGCCAAAGGGATTTGCAAAATCAGTCCTGTTCAGGTGTTTGCTTGTGTCTCTGCTGTAATTCACATTCACATCTGTGAAGGGTAAGAGAGGCTTCTCTTGGGGCACCTTATGTTCAGTGTCATTTGTCTACCATGACAAAAGTATCAAAAATTACAGAAACAGCAGTCATGTTGAGGATGTTGTTTTTAACCACGTGTCATCTCTTAGTAATAAAATATCATACTCATCTCTAGAAATACTTATGTTTGGCTGGGCCTAAAGCCTGTGGTTTTCACTTTCAGTCAGAATAAATTTTCTTCCTTTTTATTTAGTCTTTACTTCTTATAGGTCAGGATGCAAGTTCTGCATCAAGCTGGTCACATTCAGATACCCAGAGGGCCAAATAAGGATCTGGATCTGGATCTGCAAGAAGTGTAGAGTAGCTCTCTATTTTAATTAAATAGTTAGTAGTCTGGATTAGTTGATAATAAATTATATGACATGTAGAATGTGTTTGCTGTAAGCTGTTTAAATGTTTACCAATGGACTTGTGATCTGTTTGTTTGCGAAGAAATCAGATTAATTATTGTGATACCAAATGTTCTCCGCAGCACACACTTTGCTCTCAAAATTAGATGTTGTAAAAATACATTAGGAATCCCTAAGTCAATATTGACCCAAGGCATCCGCCACAGGTTTTAGACAAATATATGCACAGCCACTCTACATTTAATCCATGTGCACATAATTAGCCATTTTTCTGAATTTTCAGTTTACCCAGAATAATTACTTCTGTTTTAAGTTTGATGATGGTCAAAATTCTAATAGAAGTGTAGATGAGCATAAGTGTATACCTCTTCTTTCTGGTGACTGAATGCCACAGGAAAAACTTTTAAAAAGGAAAGTGAGGAAATGGAAAACCTGTGTGGGGCATGAAGACGCCCTGAGAAAACAACTCTTGTATATGCAATTGTTTATGGTATCAATGAAGGGTCATGTAAAATCAGTTCATTGTTGCAGCCTGTTGCTGTCTGTAGGGTACATATAGCCATAATTTAGAGTTTGTTTGACCTGCACCGGGAAATTTTTACCATATATTCTTTGTAACAATACTTGGAATGAAGTGCAGAGAAAGTAAATGACGACAAGAGTACATTTACACAGCTAAGCTATTGTAATACTTTCTTAAAAATTTTATTTATGTTTGAGAGAGGTTTGGATGGTAGCTTTATTTAGAGGTGCTATTTGGTTCTTAAACTGAAACAACAGCGTGCAGAATGGGAGGAGTGTTGAATGACACAAAGAAGATAGGAGATAAAAAAGGAGTGATTCATTGGAGGTGGCAGATCATATGGCTTCCATGTACTATTTCAGCATAAATCATTTAAAGTCTAAATTGTTGGAAGTAGTGTATGACATTACACTTAATAAAGAAGAAAAAGAGAATAATGATGGCAGAGACTGAATGTAATACTGGCTTGATGACAACGATTCAGTTAGCTGGTGGCACTGGGAGCTGCGTAGGCTGATGGAGGAAGCATAAGTGAAATGCTGGAGTTTCTATGTGCTCTGGGATATAATATCACCGAGGATGAGAGCCTGAGGCAGGTACTTCCATGGAGAATGTTAAAGTAGCTGCTGTTGCCTTAGTACTGGAGCTTCAGGATCATTTTGTATTTGTGACTTTGGTCTTTTCCACACAACATGAGGTATCTCCACCAGTTCTGGAAGAGTCTGAAGTTCTATCTCCTTTTCAAGGGCTTTGGCTTCCTTGCACTCCACTGACATTTATGTAAGGTGGGGCCATGCAGACACAGTGTTTATCCTGGTGTCAGAACCTCTTCTTGGGTCAACACTGAAGCACTGCGATGTACCTCAGGCTCTTTGTAACTACGTCTTTCCATTGTGCTGTTATTTGCCCTTGGCCTAGGCTCAGTGCCATAACATGGCAGTGCAGGTCACCATGCGTGTTTGCCTGCAGTTACCTGAAAATTTCACTATTTCTTTTTTTTTTTTTTCCCCACCAGTTATTTGTTCTCAAATGTCATGAAGTCCTGCACACAAGAGACTGCTGTAGCTGGTACAGTGTTTCTGGTAATGCTCACACAACGTAGCATCCTGGTGGATCTCTTACCTCCAAATCTGTGTACAGTTTGGAAAAACCGGGCTCACTTTGTGTCCCTACCTCAGTTCTGTGCCCATTTATGAACAGTGAACCTTATCCCAATAAAGTCCCCTGAGACCTAGGGATGAAAGCATTACATAATAGCCATGTAATATTATTTCTGTTGTATAACAAATGGCATAAAGCTGCAAGGGGCTCAGGGATTCTGTTGGAGAGGACAGGATTAGAATGTATAATGATGTTGAGGTCAGTCTGATTTTGGATAGTGACAGTCTTTAGGCAGGAGTCATTGACAGTGTAAATGCAGCATGTGAAGCTCTTCAGATAGGTGCTCTATAGATATGAGCTTGTGGGACACGAAATAAAAGTGAGCCTGCAGTGTGATTGTGACAGTGATAAAAAAAGCACCAAATAACAACATGAGATATATAAGCCAGAGAGCAGTCAGTGCGCAATATCGTGTAGTCTCTGGTCAGCATTAGTAGGATCCCAGGACTTCTGCAGTTTGGACACCACTCTTTTATAGAGGCTATGGACATGTTAGGGAGTATTCAGGGAGAGCAATGAAAATGATAAGAAATTGAGGAAATGGAGCTTATTTGGAAAGGCACAAAAATTACTATTTTTTGTTTCAGAAGTGTCTGACAGTGGCATGTTATCCACTTGCAGGCTTGAAAGATTGCTGCACAGAAGACAGGCTGTGCTTTCCTGTGCATTTCTGTTAGATATGAGAAAAAACTGTGGCAATTAGGATAATGAAATCCTACAGTATTATATCAAGAAGGCTGTAGCTCTTCATGAAGAAGTCTTTTGGAAACCAAATTAGATAAGTAGGTATCAAAAATGAAATAATGACAACAGATCACTCTTTGAAGGGATGATTTCACAAAGAGTTTGCCAGCTTTATCCTACATTTTTTTGTGAGAAAGCCATTTGAAACAAAGAGTTGTTTTGTTCTGCTTTGTTTTTTCAACGCTAACAGACCAGAATTGCATACGTTATGAAGAAAAATTCTGAGACTTTTAAGCTGAATTTGGTGAATTCAGAACTGAGGAGTTTGCATGAATGGGAACAGCGTTGTGTGTTGCCTTCCTTGCTGTCCTGTGAAAATTATTATGAAAAGAAGTCGCAGCCATTTGCATTTCTGTAGCATTTGTCAGGTTACACCCTGGTGAGCTCCTGAGATGCATCTCCTCACAGCAGGGCTTAGGGCCCTTGCTAGGCTGATTCCATTTAGCTTGTTTAATTGACAATAAATTGAATGAGAGTCATTTCCAAATCCACAGACCAAGAGGTACTACAACTACATTTCACCAAATATGCAAATGCCATTATTTGATTCCTCTGTCTTCTTTCTCGCAAATATTTATCTTTGATCAGCAATATAATAATGTGCAGTGAAACTAAGGATTAGACTTAGCCATGCCTTGGAGTTTCTATCTCTTGAAGCTTCTGTTCAAGATGTTGAAAACTCGAGCACCTTTGGTCGTTGTACAGTAACTGGGTCTCTACTGCAAGACAGACATTGACCTGACACAGTGGTCCAGAGGAAGGCTGGAGCACCTCTCCTAGGAAGACAGGCTGAAGGTGCTGGGCTTGTTGATCCTGTAGAGGCTCCAGGGAGATCTCATTGAGGTCTTTGAATATACAAAGGAGCTTATAAGAAAGATGGAGAAAGACTCTTTACCAGGATGAGGGGCAACAATTTTAAATTGAACAAGCGTAGATTTAAATTGGCTACATGACAAAATTCTTCATGATGATGATTGACGAGGCACTGGCACAAGCTACTCAGAGAAGCAGTGGATACCTCATCCCTGAAAGTGTTCGAGGCCAGACTGGATGGGGCTTTGAGCAATCTGATCTAGCGGGAGGTTTCCCTGCCCATGGCTGGGGGTTGGAACAAGACAGTCTGTAAGGTTCCTTCCAATCCAAGCCATTCTGTTCATCATACTCATGCTTCTGCTGTACTAGTAATTTGCTCTAGCTGTACTTACAGTGCTGTAAATCCATTACAGAGATACGTTCAACTGGGAAACTTTCCTTTTTAAGAAGCTGCTTGCAAGCATTATTAACTCGCACCAAACTCATTGTTGACACTGTTTCTTACAGGCTGCTTGGCTGCTAAACAACAGGTTTTTGTTTGGCTTACCATTTTCTGTTTCCATTAAAGCCAAAATCAGGATAATATCTTTATTCCTGAAACAGAACAGCATGATCACCTTCTCTCAGTCCTCTGTGTATGGTTCCTGCAAACTAAGTAATGAAATGTTGCATCTAAATAGTCCTATTTGGTCTTTTAAGTTACATTCATTACATCCAAGGTTTTATAAAATGAGAATTTTGGCATGGGGTGGACTGTGACAATGATAGCATTCTCCCTTTTTCAGTCTCTTGGGGAGACTATGGGAGATAGATTAAGATGAATGTATATAGAAAATTATTGCACTATGTTTCTAATTTTACTTGATATCTTGCAAAATTATTTATTGTATTCATCTCCCTATTTATTTTTTTTGTTGATTACTGTTTTTACCTAGGGTTAATCTTAAATAATGTAGCCTAAATTGACTGGTAATAGTATTAATTTAAGCATACAATAGAGTATTCTTGTATTAATTTGACAAATGATTTTTATGAATCAATAGTTCTTTGGTTGCCTAACATGTCTCATACAGCATTACTTGAATTTATTGTTGAATTATTTTCCTTCTCTAATTATAATTCTATTATTCTTTTCAAGCACATTAAAAATGTTAGTTCTGCTGGTGTGTATAACTAAAATAAGTTCCAATTACTTCCTGCTTTTTCAGGTATGCAAGATTGCTTTCCTAAGGCATTATTGCCTGAACCTGGTTTCTGTTATTGAAAAAAAAAAAAACCACCTTTATTTCCCTAACCACTCCCTGGTGTTAATCCATTCTTTTGTTCTGCTATGAGAAGAATATTTAAAACAGTTGGTAAATAGTGGAATGAATAATATAAATCACTATATCTCCTTATAATGTAATGCAACAAATATAGTTTTTATTGAAGTCTTATTTAAAAAAAAACAAAAACAAAAACATAAAAACTGTGCCCTAAAACAATGAGTAGTATAATTTGGGATATCAATTTCTTTTGTTCATTTTTTAGAGAAAGAGAAGTTGCATGCATTTCCAGATTTTAAATGCCTAAGCAATGTAATTTTTGCCCTAGACAAAAATTTATGTCACAGGAGATGCCTGCGTTCGGGTTATTCTTGCTAGCTGTGAGTAGTTCCTGTCCACTTTAAACCCTTGCAATTAGATATATTTCTGTATCTTACTAATTCTTCTCATTTGTGCATAAAGATATCTTTACAAAATGAAAATGATAATTTGGAAAAATTGAGGATCACAAATGATTGCAGCCTGAAGTGCATTAATCACCACAGTTGCTTATTATTTAAAAAACAAAAACAACAGCAACAATAAAAACACAGGTTCTAAGAAGCAGTCACTTTATTTAGTAGCATCTTGACTTTATGCGACCTATGTAAATATTTTGGCAAAGGACCAAACCAGTCACAGATACCAAAATAATGTCAATAATTGCAAAGTGAATTAGGTGAACTGTGAACCCCCAACACCAGAAGGAAGTGGAGTTGTGGGAGCAGGTCCAGAGGAGGGCCATGAAGATGATGAGGGCTGGAGCACCTCCCATACGAGGACAGGCTGAGAGAGCTGGGGCTCTTCAGTCTGGAGAAGGGAAGACACCAGAAGTATCTTAAAGCAGCCTTCCAGTGCCTGAAGGGGGCTACAGGAAAGCTGGGGAGGGACTTTTTATAAGGGCATGTAGTGACAGGACAAGGGGAAATGGTTTAAAATGGAAGAGGGCAGATTTAGACTAGTCATCAGGAAGAAATTCTTTACTGTGAGGGTGGTGAGAGGCTGGAACAGGTTGCACAGTGAGGCTGTGGATGCCCCCTCCCTGGAAGCACTGAAGGCCAGGCTGGATGGGGCTCTGAGCAACCTGGTCTAGAGGCAGGTGTCCCTGCCTATAGCAGGGGGTTGGAACTAGGTGATCTTAAAGGTCCCTTCCAACCCAAACCATTCTATCATCATTTAAATATCTTAGTTGAAACTCTAAACAAAAGCGGCCTGACTCTTAACTTGGAGAAGTGGATGAAGTTGACAACAAGGAAACAAAAATATTGATGGGGATGACGTAAATAAATATTTCTCCCTTGTTTTGTGGTTGGCTGATACTACAGAAAGAGGTAATAGGTGCCACCTCTTCCTTGATACTCGGTTCTTACTCTTCTGGAGCCAATGGTTTAATTGCTGTTACAGAAGATAGGACACTTCCTGAAAGATTCTGACCAGTACGTCTACTCCATGCACTGTGTGCACAAACTGTTGTTTTTTCTCCAAATTCCATTGAAGAGGGAATTACTGCCACCATTTCTGTTTTATTTTAGAAAATGGAGTGACGTTGCAGAAGAAAATATGAAAAATACAACAGACGTAACAAACTGGTTATGATCTAGTAGTGCTTCCAAGTGAAATGCACTCAGAAGTAGTTTCAGTGAAGTAGAATACTTACAGTAGTGACTTACAAAGAGTAGGAGATTGGCCATTCGTTCAAAACGGGCAGGCTTTAAGTTGTGGCATGTGAAGCAAGGACTTCTTTGCTGAGTTTTATAGGGTGACTTTTTCCATTAGGAGGAGTCTTTGTTAAGTGGATCAAAAGCATTCAAAGAGTGCAGGCTGGAGAGAAGAATGGATCTAAAACAGAGTTGGCCACGAAAAAAAGTTCTTTTGAAGTAGGGACTTTGAGAGGTTTTATTTCTCTTAGTCTATTAAAACTTAGAAATGGCACTTTTTGTGATCGCTTAGAAAATGTAATTGATCAAATGACTGTTACTTCCTAACCACAGAAGGTGTTAAATATATTAAAATTGTTACAGCAACTTCGAGCCAATATGAGAGAGATGGAAAAACTTTGCTTGCGAGTCCGACAGGAAGACATCCCAGCTCTGCAGCGGATGATAAATCCAGTGAAAGATGAAGCTTCATCTGCCATAAAACACTTCCTGCAGCTCCATTCTGAATCTGCAGAAGAGCTTAAAAGGCAACTAGAAGGACAGGAAGATGCCTCCTTAACCAGATCTGCAACTGTGGGAGGAGGTAGTAGAATTTCATGTCTGTATCTATTGTATCTATATCGTTGTGTCCATTCAGCACTTTTGATATAAATGAAAGAAACTAAAGAGATTTCAGTTGAATAACAATTGTTAATTCAGAAGTGGATTTTCTTTCCCTGTGCCACGCTTTTATTACCCACTACTGAGTTTTGATAAGTAGTTGAGTATCTTAGAAAGAGAGTAGGTGTGCCCTTCCATGAAACAGAGAGTACCTCTTTCTTTAGCATTTGATCTTGGTAACAGACAAAAAGCAGAAAATATTATAAATCCATTTAAGTTAAAGATTTTGCAAATGCACTGTAGCACGCAACGAGTCAGATGTTGGCTGTTTTTCCTTCCTTTCTGCACAAAATAGATTCTCATTCTCTTGTACCATTCTGCCTCCAGGGGAAATACTCTGCTGTGGCATTAGCCAGCATTCTCTACTATTAATCTGTGAGAAAGTTGATTTTATCAGTTATATCCTTCTACATAATAGTAATTAGATTTATTACTTCAGTAGCAGCGTTGTTTAAAATTGTTTGGCAATTTCATGCATCTTTAAAATGGTGTGCTTTCAGTCCATGGCATTGTAGAAGAACCTGCCCTCACATTTTATTTCATGACCCTTCTTGCTGCTATATAAAGAACTACAGGAACGGTTTCAAGTGCAATTAGCAAGGAACTAAGTCTAACTGAAAGAAAAGTTGATTTAGAAAAATGGGCTTTCAAGAACATAATGTGTAGTAGTATTGCTAAGTGTTACAAAAAACAAGTTGTATCAAATCTGCAATTCATGTCTTCTTGCCAGACCAGTAAAAAGTGATTTGATTGGCTTCTGACATATATGATTCTTGATTATATTCAACACTTTCAGCATCTTTTAGCTTTCAGATGTTCCTGAGCTGATTGTTCAGGAGTTTATCCTAATATCATTGTGGATGTCAAAGTCTGGCTATTTGCTGCATCCTCCTTCCTCTCCAAATAAAAAGATAACTGAGTTTGTTCTCTGCAGTCTTCTGGGATACTGTTCATGTTCTCTACACAGAGAAAAATATGTTTGTGTTTTCCAAGATTGCTTCTTAAATAATCTGGAGTGACTTTCATCAGACACTTCAGGTTTCAAATACATCTCAATATTTTGAACCTGTTTTCTTTATCTTTTACCTTGTTAAAATTAATTGCATCAAGTGTCACATTACAGCTGCTTTTTTGTGGAAAGACTGACGTATGTAGCTCTGTGTCATCCTGTTTTCTTTCTTCACGCCGCGATGCACGTACTTTTACTTCCTTTGTCTTTCTCTGATGGCATCCATGGGAACTTTCTTGCGACCATTTATTTAGCTCTTCTGCATTCCTTTAACCTTTTGGAGTTTCTTTCCTATAGGTTCTATTAACCAGTTTGCTGGATTTGTTGATACTTCTTTTTTGGGGTGCTCGCTGTCTTTGGTCTTATTCTGAGCTTTAGGACAGGCAACTCTGGCATTCATCTGTATTAGCCATTACTTTCAAGCTCCTTATGACCTCTTCTGTGTTACAGTCAGAATAACATTTAAAACACCTTTTTTCTTGGTAACTTTCTACAGTTGTCCTCAGTACATTCGGTTATTTTCTTGCAAGGGCCTTTTGCTTTTCTAACAGTTACACGGATAGCAAGTGAGAGCTGCAGTGTAATTCCAGAGATCAGGACTGCTTTTTAATCTGAAATACCTTTGAATTACGATGGAGCATAACCACACCTTAAAAAGACAAGAAATTGATCGCAGAGATTGAGATGGAAGATAGAAAATCATTACTGGAATGACATACTCCTATATGTCAGCTCAGGAATACAGAAATAGCTCATCCCATTTAAAGTGAAACATACAGTAAGGCAGACAACTAAATTTAATTATATAGGGTTTTTTTTTTTTTTAATGGTTTGCCTGACTGCTGTGAAAGCAGCTCTGTTGAATTGCTAGCACGGATGCAGTGTATTGCCTGTTCCTTTGTGCTTAGAGGCTGCAGCCCTGAAAGGAAATCTTGGCTGCTGATCTTAATCAAAGGAGCTTCAGTATGCCCATTCTCTGTGGCATGTTGCTTCCCATCTGGTAGAGAAGTAAGGAGTTTACAAATTCAAATTGCCCATTTGGAAGGTGTGTCAGTGAAATGATGTGATTCCTTCACCTGAGCTCAGATCCAATAGAACTGAAATTTAATTGCATTTTAAACAAATATTAACAAAAGGTGAGACTCTACTCCAAAAATTACTAAGATCTTTTAACCAGCATATTGAACATTGCAGAGCATTAGATTTTTATCTTGAATGTAATGAAGTACGAAGCTGCTATGTGAGGTCTGCAGAGGTATTTTGTATTACTGCATTTCTGTGTAAATGCTGGAAGCAGTGGAGTCATTTCCATTCTCAGTTCTATTAGAATAGGTTAGCCTTGATAAAACATAAACTAGGAAGTATAAGTTTCCTACTTGTATTTTCAACCCAAATGTGACTTGCCCTTTTTTTTCCTAATCGTTCTTATTCTTTACCTTATGTTTTGGAATCAAGGGAAGAATTTTATTGAGAATTTTTAATGTCACTAATTTTTAGCTGTTAGAAAATAATAGCAATGTAAACTGACCGAAAATGTAAGTTCTCTTGATTTTGTGCCACTCATATCTTCAGCATTGTTTCAGTGTTGTGAGGGACATGCTTTTCTGCAGTAGGTCAGCATGGGTTACGAAGGACAGATTAGAGCAGGGAACGTAATTTGTAAGGAGGCAAATGTGCTTAAAGAGTTTTTTTTTTTTCCATTTTTGAATTAAGAATATTGTAATTTCAAGCAAATGAGCATGCACGTGGCTGAATAGAATACGATTAGTTGGCGGAAGAAACTGGGTTTTGAAATAGGGTCTTGAGGGATTGGAATGGGATCAAATGCTCAAAACCAATATCAGGTGTCAGAATATTCAGGAAAATTGGTTTGTCCAAAAAATGCATACATTTTGATACAGAATAAACTGTACTAAGAAAAGGACTGTTTCAGAATGGAGTGTTTAACGTTAAGAGCAGCAAGCTATGCTGCACTTAAAGCACCCCATGAAAGGAGCCAGCAGAGCCCCAGGATGCCCCAGGCCCAGCACTGCCACCAGGCCAGGAGAAGGGGTGTCCTACTCTGCTCTGTGCTGTGCTGCCTCACTTCCAGCTGCCTGTGCAGCTCCCAGTGCTGCAAAATGAAAGGGAACAGAACTGTTAGGATGTCCAAAGGAGCACTATGGAGATGTATGAAGAGTGGCTGAGGTCCCTGTGTTGGCTCAGCGCAGAGCAGAGGAGCTGAGGAGAGGCCTGATGGCGGCTGCAGCTCCTCACAGGGAGCGGAGGGGCAGCGCTGAGCTCTGCTCTGTGTGACAGAGACAGGGATGGCATGGAGCTGCATCAGGGGAGGGCAGCTGGGGGTCAGGGAAAGGGGCTGCACCACAGGGCGGTGGGCATGGAACGGGCTGCACAGGGCTGTGGGCACGGCCCTGAGGGCTGGAGTTCAAGGAGCATCTGGACACTGATCTCAGACACAAGGTTTGATTTGGGTGGTGCTGTGCGGAGCCAGAATCTGGACTTGATCCTTGTGGGTCCCAGCCGACATGAGATGTTCTGTGGTTCTAATAAATCTGATGTTACAGATCAAAAATATATTTTGGAAGAGTAGGTGATGATAATAAAGTACCTTCCTCATCTGGAGTTTGAAAGGAAAAGGGATAGAAGTAATTAAAAAACAGGCCTGAAATACAACTTAGTCCACCATTGTTGCTCTGCTTCTCTGCATGCTTAGGAATTATGGCTGACTGTCGGCTTCACTGATGTTAGAATTGTATTGATCTGAGAGTAGTAAGATTTGGTGCTTGCTGTCTTCTGAGATGCTGGGATAAAAATGTTGAAAAATGGACACGTTATAAAAATGTATTTTATTTTATCTTAAATTAATTCCATGTATTAGCATGCTTTATTACTCAATTTTTATTGAGAAAGGTTATTTTTATTCATTTTTCATTGTTTGTATCAGTTGCAGTAACAGTTATATAATATTGTTTCAGTACCTTGGCACATTCATTGCTTCCATCGAAGACTTTAATGTAATATTTACACTACAGCCTTGTTAGAAATAGCTCTCCAGTCTTCCCCATATTAAGCTTTCCACCCTCCTAAGGAATAAACACCAGTGTGCTGCTAAAGTGGCCATCTTTCAGAAATCTTACTAAATTAGCATGGTCTTTGCACTGTGTTGAGATACATAAGTTCTCCAGCCTGCTTTTCATACTCCCAAGCTGTTACTTAATCCTTACAACAGATTCCAACTTGCTGTTGCTGTTCTTAACTAGCACTGAATTAGCCATCCATAGTTAGGCACTTGTCCATTACAGCCATAATGGCTCAAAGTTTTTGGCTGGAGAAGGTATGCGTGTATGTGTTAAATGTATCTGCTTTCCACCATGCCACCTGGCTGTCACTGCTTCCGCATTTTTTCCTCAATAATTTGTCCGACTGTCTTTTATACTCAGCACAGATGGTTTAGAAAGGAAGATGCTCAAGAACATCTCCTTTACCCTGCTGAGCTTTAAATATTTGCCATCATCAGAGTACCATTACCAGTGGGACAGAGCACTACGTGTTTGGCAGCATGGTACTTGGTTTTCATTGCTTTTACTTCAGAATTTTTCTCCAGCTACTCCAAGGCTGTAGCAGCTGAAAGCCAGATGTGGTAGAACGATAATAAAAGAAATGACCAGCTTTGGAAGTGCAGTGTGTAGATATCACGTGTAAATGAAGGTTTTGTCCCCAGCTCGATTTTCTGCTGCAAATTTTTAAAGCTCAGCTAATAGGAAATTGATGGACTGGCCCTAACTTCAGGAGTGTAAGTTTCTCATCGTGCTCAGAACTGACAGTGAAAGTGCACTGTTAGAAATGAGCCTGTTTCTTTGGCAATAACTTCCTTTTAGGAAGTTGTGTAGTGCTGTGAGTAGGACTTTTGCCTGTGTGGTAGTTACTGGGGCTGTTCCTCACCTTGCATTATTTTAAATATCAATTTATCCATGAGAAACATCAAGAGTGAGAAATTTTGCATGTCACCTGCAATCTGATCTATTGTGTTATTTATAAACATCATGTTTTTTTCATTCAGAAACTTCATACAACACAGAAACAAATGATGGGTCTCAAAGTTTAATCCAGATGTGTTCTCCCCTTCCTGAGATACCTCAGAATGAAAATGCAGCTGAGTCCTGGGAGACGTTAGAAGAGGTATGCTGGGACTCCCTTACTATGCTGTTGGTATTCTTGCTTTTAACAAGTTACAGAATAACTTTTTTTTTTTTTGCAGGACTTGATTCAGCTCAGCCAGTTGGTGACTGACTTTTCTGTGTTAGTCAGTGTAAGTATGAATTCTGCATTCCGTATTAGAAGCTTTCAAAAATGAGGGTGAGTGGGGATAACACCCGGTTGGGGAAAAAAGGAGAGCAGTTCTCCTGTCTGTAATCTGAGTGCAGACTGAGCTAGTTGCCACTTAATAACAGCAACACAGCAACAACATAATAACAACAACAAGAATAGCAGAATCACATTAACAGAATGTATTCAGTCAGGTGTTAAATAAATTAAGGTTATGAAATGATAGATATGTTGGGAACTTCAGGAAGATGTTCCCCATTGAATGGAGGCAGTGTATTTCCCCACAGTTAGCCAAGATGCCCAGGTAGAAGCCCTGACTGTGCTACATGGCACCTATAGTAAATACTCCTCTGGTTTCAGATGACTGGTACATTTAATACTTTCCAAAGTCATGGGTGATGGATATCATTATTACATTTATGTTGAATTATCTAGCACTAAATTAGAAAGCTTTCTTCTGGTTTTCATGTAGTAACAGAAGAGGACTTGTTTGTTCCTCTTCTGTTCCTATTGGTTCAGGTCCTGGCAAGACAGATTTCTGAGGAGGCAGTATTTTTTCATATCAACAACTAGTGCTGCTAGTTGCTCCTAAGCAATTCCTGATGTTGTAGCCAATGCCCTTTGCCACCTGAGGAGCCTTAGAAGCAGCTCTGCAGTGCTGACATCAGACTTGTAGCCAGGTCCCATTCATTCTTATAGTTTCCAAGGGTAACAGTGGCTATAGACTTCACTGCACAGGTTGGGCATCTTTTAGGTACTTTAATCTCTTAACCAGGGGTACTAGGAAGAGTCTGAAGCTTCCCTCATCTCCATCATGCTCTTTCTTTACTTATAAATGTGGCATCTTTTATCAGCCACACTTAGTTCCCAATGTTTAATTCTTCCTTTGCCACTGGGAGTTTCAACCCACCATCCTCAACTGCCACAAGGATTGTTTAATCTGATCCCCTTGCTGTTGAGCTGCTTGGGATAGATGAAAGAGCTTTTGTTCTTTCTCTAGACTCTGTGCTGCTTCACTGAGATTTGTTGAACTGGAAAGGGACTTTAGAAAGGAGGGGTTCCTGTTCCCAGGACTGGATTTTACACATGACCATCATTAGACATTAGACAAGAGTCAGAAGTGTTCAGTGGCCTTCGGTAGATTGCAGATGAAGGTACCACAGCTGGACTCAGCGTTTTCTGAGTTTGAAAGAGGGCAAAGTTGTGATGCCTTGTACTTAAGGAGACTGTCAGCCATCTGAGGCATGAAATAGCCTAAGAACCATAGAGATCAATAAAAACAAAACCCTCTCTCTGTCCTCTCTGTCTGCTGCTCCAGTGTTCTCTGAGAGACTGCAGGGGAATCTTACTGCATTCTGACGAAGGATGGAATGCTTCTTTTAAATCTTTTAAATCAGAGAACAATGAAAGGTAAAGCAGTAGCAAGTATATTTCAGTTGTCACTGTTGTATTTGTGAAGTGAAAATCACAGCCAGAATCACAGAATGGCCCAGGTTGGAAGAGACCTCAAGGATCATGAATCTCCAAGCCCCTCGCCACAGGCAGGGCCACCAACCTCCACATTTAATACCAGACCAGGCTAGTCAGTGTTTTATAATATCCTAATTAAGTACTTCTATTTAGATTTCTTGGCACAACTTTGTATGTTGCAGTTGGTACTGATAAATGCTTTTTATAGACCTTTTTTTGAACATGAAGCTCAGCAGGAAACAGAAATGCTAGTTTGGATTGTTTTCCCCTTTGAAGTGCAAGCTCATCTATTCACAGAGAAGATTTAGAAATCATATGTTATGGGTTGTTTTCTCTAACAGTAGCAACGCATTGTGTAATATTCCCACCATATTATTAGTTGACAGTTAAGCTTTTTTTTAAGTAAGTTTGTAATTTCAGCGCAGTTTATCAGATCCCATTAATGAACCACCATTAAGGCTGCATGGCTGCAGTGTGTGGCAGATGAAAGCAGCTGTGGGGCCCTGATTACAGGCATTAAAATGGTGTGTATTGGCTCACCGCTGCTTCCCAGCAGGTTCCCTCACTCATAATTCCTTTGCATCTAGTCTCAGCAGGAGAAGATTGACAGGATTGAAGACCACGTCAACAGTGCTGCTGCGAATACCGAGGAGGGAACCAAAAACCTGGCGAAGGTAGGGATGTGCTCCTGCTGCTGGATCAATGGTACTCTGCTTCCCAGCAACCTCTGTATTAACCCCATTGATCCGCCGTCTTTAATGCTGAGGGAGCCAGCAATTAAGGAAATAAGGAAGAAATGACCCACAGGTAGCAGGGGGAAAAAAAATCAATCTCTCTTGTAATTTTCTATCGCACCCAGGCTACTAGAAAATACTTTTTTTGTTTCTTCAAATCACATTATGTGATACTTTAATGCTACTTCGGTGTACCCGCAAAGATGTGAGCATTCAGCCATTGGCTCACAGGAATCAGATGAGCATGAAACAACAGAGCAACGGGGGCATGCAGCTCCAATGGACGTGATGTCAGCAAGAGCTGCTAATAAGCCACACGCCTGGATTCAGGCACGCTATTGAAGTCTGAGCATTTTCTGTTTCTCACTTGATTCAGTGATGGAGACAGGGTCATAAATAGTGTGTACAGTCAGCCAGTAGCGGGTAGAAGATCTGTCTCCGAGCTGCATGTGTGAGAGAGCTCAGTTTTCAATTGTTTGGGATTCAGACACGTGGATAGCAGAGCATCTTTTTTCCTAATACTGATTTGTCAAGTGTATTTATTGCTGAGCGTCCAGATCATTGGCAAGAGCAATGAGAAGAGAAACACACCTCACCACAGGAAAGGGTTCTAACCCTTTTTCTTTTTTTCTCTTTCTAGGCTGCAAAATACAAGCTGGCAGCTCTGCCCGTGGCAGGTGCAGTCATTGGAGGAGTGGTGGGGGGTCCTATTGGTCTCCTTGCAGGCTTCAAAGTGGCAGGAATTGCAGCTGCACTTGGTGGTGGGATTTTGGGTTTCACAGGTGGAAAACTGATACAAAGAAGAAAACAGAAACAGATCGAGCTGGTCTCTTGCAGCTGTCCAGAGCTTTCTTGCCAAAGTGCCAAAAAATCCAGCTGAAGTATAGACTCATTAGGAGGAACAGAAGTACAGTAGCTGTGCTAATGACAGACTTGCAGCCTCCTGCTTTAGATTTGAGGCTGAGGTGTGAATTCTGCAGCAGTACAGTTACGTGGGAAGGGTGAAACAGTAATGTCAGAATTTTGGAGCTTTCTGTTTTCAGACGTGATAAGTGACTTCAATCTTTTAACTCTTAAGAACTATAGGGTAACTTTTAATGATAAAATTCGTAAAGGAGGTATGTGAACAGCTGATGGGTGACAGGTGCTTCAAGCCAAATTTGCACAAAATACCTTTCAGATAAAGAGATTTAGAAAACTAGTGCTTTCTCATCAACACCCTCCCCAGAAGCCAGAGCTTGTATTATATTATTATAGTAATTGTTGTATATATATTATTCTAAACTCCTGTCCTCCTGAGGCAGGAAAATAAGCTCCCATCTATCCTTTATGTTCAGGGCACTTTAAAATCTCCTCTCTGTTATCTGGATTCCCAGACTCCTCCTGTGTATACCACCAGGACACAGGGAAGCACTGTTTTCCATAGAGTAAGGTTAAAACGCTGGGTGAGTAATGTGGAAAAACATACGTATATCCAGCATCTGTCTGCATCAGCCAGCTCTGATCAGCATCTTTTATTTATTTTATTTTGTGTACTCCTCAGTTATTCAAACCATAGTTAAGACTTAAATAGCCTAAGAAGCAGCACTGGGGGAAAGAGTCATTTTCCATGGCTCTTCAGCTCCTTGTCTCAAGAACGTTGCTCAGAATGAAGTGCCAAACTCCAGCACTCTGAGCCAGGAGCCTCAGCTGCCTTTAGGAGTGCTCATGGCCAGCTGCTGCCCTCGCTTCTCCTGTCCTGGCACCAGCAGTGCCATAGAGGGAGAGCTTCGCTGGAGGTGTGCTTCCTCCATGGCCTTTATTCAAGGGTGGGTATCTTTTATACCAAGGGTGGATGGAGAAGCAGCAAGTCCTGGTGAGAAATGTGTTCAGTGGGGCAGCACTGAGACTTGTGCTCTGTTCCTCCTGTATGGCTGCTTCTGGGCCTTTTCAGTGGAGATTTTGGGGCATGTTGTTAGGACTTCCTCTAGCTTTTTACAGAAATATTCTGCCTTCCTGACTTCAGTGCTTCAGAAGCCATTTGCTTCTGTAACCTCTGCTGTTGCACACCAGAGTGCTAATGCTTTTATTTTTGCATCGTCTTACTGTTATGCATGTAGTCCTACCTCCATCTTTCGAGAATGGTTCCCACACTATTGCTGCTGCTGGTTGGGGGAACAGAAGTTGGAGCTGGGGGGCTGCTGCTTTAAGTTTTACACTGTTCTTCTCCTCCTGAGCTCTGTGGGATTAGTCCAGTCCGGTTCTAATAGTCACACACCTTTGCTCTCAGGCTCCCTAGCAGGGAATGCTGGATACAGAAGCAACCTGCATACAGAGAGCTCCCTTTTGTTAACCATGAAAAGAACAATCTGCTAATGACAGATGATAGGTTTTTGTGCCTAGAGACACAGTAAGCAACTGTTAATTACAGCACAAGCATCTTTTTCTGAACAGTTCTTCCATACTACTTTTACAGTGTGATCGGAATTGCTATCAGCCAGAGCAACGCATCTGTTTTAAGTAGGGCTGAGGCTTAGGGAAGCAATGTGTACGAGAACAGTTCTCACAAGTAATCATGAACATTGTCAACACTGCGTGTGCTGAAGCCACAGTGCCTACGTCTGTACAATCAGCAGGAGTGGGAAATGCGAGCCGAGTAATTCAGCGCGTTTCCTCCTGTCATGCAAAGAACTTCTTTAAATGCACCTACTTTGGATGTAAATATATCTAATGAGTTTGTAACAGCTTCATGTGAAGGCTGTTAATTCCAGTGACTGGTGATTTCTACATTTAAAGAAAGCAACCAAGGAAGAAGTGCTTAAATGGAAACTGGCCGGATCTGCTTTCCTACTGTCTGATTCTGAGCCCCACGCATTAAATGGCAGCAGACACCGCAGGACCTCCTCGCTCCCCCTAAGGCTGGGACAATCCACACCACCAAACGGAACTTCTGCCACTGCTCAGCCAGGGTCAGCTTCCCCCATACTCTCTTCATAAAGCATCTCACACAAGGACTGTTCTTCCTTGAGGCTTTAAGGAAGCAATTTCAAACCACTGTGCACACACTAAATGTGGGGGGCTATTACTTCAGCTATGATTTTATTTTATTTTTTAAATAGATGAGTTACGTACATGAGCAAAAAAATACAGGCACCTGAGTAAGTACACTGCATTCAGATGGGTAGGCAGATTGGTTAGAAGATATGTAAGCTATACATAATGCTTCCAGACCAAACCAAAGTTTTTGCTCATCTGCATAGAACTCATTTAGAATGTCAGATTTTATTCCCTTTTTGACATCAAAAAGTTCAGTCCTTCAATAAATCTGTTATTAAAATTATTATTAACACTAAAGAATCCTGTATTGAGTTACTAAACTACATACTTCCACTGTAAAATATGAACATTGACTGAAATCAACACAAGTTCCCAAAGCATTCCAGGCATTTTAAGAACTGGTGCAGATCTGGTACTTCCAACCAACTGCTTTGAGATCAATGTGAGTTTGGAACATTTTTGTTCTGTGTGGGGATAATGCTGCTGTTGTTTGATAGCTTCCCAGGAGAGCCTTGGGGAGCGGTTTGCCAAGCACTAAGGGGCTGAAACCAATGTTGTAGATCAGAGTTTATCAGAGTTTAAACACCTTCTTGCTCTACTTAGGTAAATTCTTTGTATCTTATGATACTTCAAGAGCTCAGCTGCTGCTGACCGTTGTGTTAGGCGTAACTAGACTTCTGCTGTGCAACACTGCTTGCAAATAGAAAAAAAAATCACTTAAAAATTCACACATCTGTGCCCATGATCACCAAGAACCCAGGAGAATCAGGTCCTACTCCAACAAACACATGATGATGTGACTTCAGCACGCACCTGTCAACTAGCACACTGTGCAGGAATTGTCCAGAGCTCCTGGAACAAGTCCTTGCTCAGAAGAGCAAACACAGCGTAAGACAGGGGGCTGGATGTGGGCTGGCGTATCTGATTTTCACAGGAAAAGCCATTGGATCACTGGACATAGAATGAGGCTCTATCTCTCTCCAGCAAGAGAAACTCAAATGTCACCCACCAAATGTCATAAGATGAGCCCCTATAGGCACCATGCAAGAATTCCAGCCTTAAAAACTACCCTGATGACAGCTTTGGATTCAAGCTGAAGGTGGCACGATAGCTGCTAAAAATGCTTGACTTGCTATTAAACAGAAGACCTGGCTTTCTGAAACTTAATGTAAACTCCAGAATCACAAAACACATAAAAAAAACCAAAAAAGCCACAAGAGAAGAAACCCACCAACTTCAGAACAGTCTTGCAGTGAGCTACCAGTTCCGCATCTGCTCAGTTAGCTGCAGCTTAGTGCTGAGAGCACTAAACTGTGTCCTCTGCAGGTGGCTGTGGATGCAGGTGCTTGACTGAGCAGACTGCTGGGAGCAGTGCGTGCACAGCTGCACAGCCCCACATCACTCTTCTGTCACATACCTGAGGAGCTGACCTGAGAGGAAAAGGAATCCTGAGTAGTGAACTGCAGAAGTTGGGGCACTCACTGAAGTAAATCGGAACCCACTGAGAACCACACGCCCAGAGGAGCAGCTTGCCTCTTTGGTGCCCCAAGTCACAGACTCGGATGCTCACAGCATGTGCTGTGCAAATGAGAACTAATTACTCTCCAGCCATGCCCCCTGAACTAACAGGTGTTTTTCACATCTTACTGTTTCTTTACGTTCACCTCACCAAGCAGCTTTTACAGTTGTTGAGATAAGTATTATGTATTAGACACAACAGAAAAGCCCACAAGGATAACAGTTCCTTCTTCAGAGCAAAATTCAGAGTAACCAATGAGGGAAAAGCCATACAAGAGTATCACAATTTAGAATGCTAACGCTTGCATAGTCATGGTGCTGTGTCTGCCCTACTCCTCTTCTGCTCTGAAGTGTCCCTAACACTGGTGTTGTTTTAACACAACTGTGTAACATATCATCATTCCAGCAAACGAGCTGGCCTGTACAGCCCTACCATGCAAAATACAGCCATTACCATTACAACTTCACCTTTCCTCACTTAGTATTTTAATAATCAGAACTGCTTAAACATTTAGACCCAGTAAAGCACCACACAAGATTCTGTAAAACTTTAATTTATTCCCCTCCCAAGTATCCAGAATAGAAGACCCTCTCAAGTTGGAGAAAAATGTGACAAAGAAATAGATTACCAGGAGAGCTGTTCACATGAAGAACAGAAAGCACATACTACCAAGATTACACAGAAAACAACCCCAAAATCCTATTGAATGGGATAGTGCAAGTTAACAGCATGTCTCTGGCAGGGATACCTTCATTTGGATTATAAAAGTTTTACAGAATTGTTACATCAAGTGTCTGGATGGGTCTCTGGCATTTTACTAGAGCGTTAAGAACGTACTGTTGGAAAGATGCTGTACAGAAGGACCCACCAAATCAATTTATTTACAAGCCTGGGGAAGAAAAAAATTATTTTTCAGTTTATTCAAAATAAAAATACACGTAGAATTATGAAAATATAGGTTTACTATTTCCACCACACGGAAGTCAATGCTGCTGTCTGAAAGGCTTGCAAGATTATTTCAAGTTTTTAAAGTTCATCTTTTTCCCTCAATAAGGTGTACCTATGTTCACTGGGTGCCAGTTTCTGGAAGGAGCTCTCTGGCGGGCTGCTGGCTACATCCTGAATTGGCTGAAAAACAGAACAGTAGCAGTGCACGTTAGATTCATTGTGATGATCAGTCCCCTCCACCACACAGTGATGGGTGTGCACAACCAGCAGCTTTCATTGGAAGTGCAAAGGCCCAAGCAGGTGAATAAACACCCGGACACAAATTAAGTACCTTCAGTTAAGGCATTCTGTAAGCAGAGCTGAAAAGGTCAGCCTGCAAGTTTCTACGCGAGTGATTTAATAGTATGTTGAATGCACCCTACTGTAGACTTGAGTGTCCACCACTTGCCAGATTTGAAGGTGCTGTGCTTTGTGTGTTCGTTTTTGAGACACCAGGGCAAAAGTGCAATTGCTGCCAAAATACTTTAAAATTAATTTCCTATAAAAACTAAAAGAAACACATGCAACTCAAGGGACACAAATGACACGGGACAGCAGCTTCCAGTTTAATTTGTGTCCAGTATTTCCATTGCACAGGCTTGCATGTCTTCCATGTGCTGGCAGGATACTATACACAGATGAGAAAGGAAACAGATGAAGGACACTGGATTTTGGGTGCATTTTTCAAGGGAGAAAGGAGACAAGCTAGTCCGCAGCTCCACACAGTGAGCCTGGCCCAGATATGCAGCAGAACTCAGCAAATTAGCAGGTTTCCTTTCATCCTGGCCAAGCTTCCAACACACTGCAGTTGCTTCCAAGTATGTCCAGCCCTAAGCTGATTGCCTCAGTCTCCAGCTCCACTCAACCACATCTGCCTTTCCTCCCACTGACCTGAACTCAAGTTGCTCATTGAATTCTTGAGAAATACAGGGAGTTACTAGCTAAAGGAACTACCAGGGGAAAAATTCAGCCTTCGTGTTTAAACAGTCAGTCATCATAACATTCAGAAGCAGACACTCATCCCCACCCTGCCCAAGGCAACCCCTCCTGCCTCCTGTTGCACAGCACAGCCAACTTGCTCCTTCCCAATGGCTGCAGCTATGGGTATCCTCTGCTCACAGAGCCTTACGCCGCCCTACCTGGCACTGATACCAGCACTGCTCACAAGCCTCAGTGCTGTTTCTCTAAAGAAAACCCGATGCCAGTTTGAGTTTACTTGAGCAACCTGTGCATGGAGTGGAGTGTTGGCACAGGAAGTTCAGCGTATTCCAGCATCAGAGACAACCCTGACCTTAACATCCAGTTCTGCTGCGAGCCCAGCCGTTCACAACCTGGCTGGAGAGTACTGGGAGCAGTTCCCAGCTCAACCATCTGCAGGCTTTTGCAGCTGCTGGTCCAGCCTCCGCTCCTGCATTATATGTTACTGCCCTGCCCCTCCTCCGGGGCTTTTCTGCTTTTCATTCTATTAACTTTGAGCAGAGCAACAGGAGGCTGTGCTCAACATCTTTAGCATGGAGCCATCCTTACTCCACCCTACAGATATCCAGGATAAGGGGCCTTAATCTCTGACCTATGGGTGCTGGGATAGCCCAAGGCTCTCTAATACGAGGCAAGGGTCCTCTGAGACCAATACAGCACCTTAAGCCCTAGAAAATAAACCATTTAAGTCAAAAGCAGTATCCAAAAACAAATGTGTCTTTAGACAGGGCCTGAAGTATTGAGAAGGTTGCCTGACAGACCTGTACTTACACTCTTCCCCAAGCATGTGAGCAGAAGGGTGTATCATGAAGATACAAAGCTGAGACACAGACGGATGGGGCTGAGCAGAGGGAATCAGGGCTGGTAACCACATCCTTTCTTTGCTGCCTCCTGCTAGGCTAAACAATGAGGTATCTGGAGAAAGATCTGCTAGATCCTTTTCCTTTTTCTTCCTGAAAAGATCCCAAGAATGACTGCCATGCACATAAATACAGAGTATAATAGTCTTTGAGCAGAACCAACAGGAATCTGAACTGACAAATGCAGTGTGAGCACCATTAATGCTGCTTTTTAACTGCATTAATAAAAGTGATAAGCCCTATTGCTGCTTATCAGTCTTTCACTGACGCTCTAATAATCTGCCTCCTGCTTGAACTGGTGACCACAAGTAAATAATTAAAACAGTCAACTGATGTTTCCCTTTAGAAGCATTCCCTCAGTGTGTTGTAAGAGCAACAGTGATCTATTTTACTTCTACAGCTATATATAAAATCAGTTTTCCCCACTGAAATAAGAGCAGCTTATGAGCTCAGAGCAACCATCTAACCCAAAACTTTTCAGTGGAGGTAACAGCTACTCTTACATTCTTTCATTACACAAGGCAAATAGGAGCCTGTTTCCCCCTAACGTTCTCCCTCCCTTTAACCAAAAGCAGTTTTGGTTAAACAGCAAAATAGAAACCACTTCTGCTCTTTTAGGCAACCGGAGTTAAAAGCATATAAGCATTAAGAAGTACACCTATAACAAGGAGGGGAAAAAAGTCTTTATTAAATGGCCAAATTAAGAGTGTTTTCTGTAACCTTACCTGTCCAGGTGCTACATCAGTTGGATCAGGGCCATGATGAAACTCTCTATGCAGTTTTCCAGAATGCAAGTCTAGTACAAATTGCTTCAGTTTACCTGGAACTCTGAAACAAATGAACCATAAGAAGTGAAGTTCAAACACAGAAGACAAAGTGCACTGCTTAGAGTAGCCAACTTCTGTCCATCTGGCACACTATGCCTACTTTTAAGTGATTAGCACAGGACAGAAAGCAAGTGGTTGGTTAAGGCATCCTACCAGCTTCTTTTTCTTTCCCGTCTCTTGAGAACACAGCAAGTATTTCATCTTTTCAATAACTCCCACAGAGCTGTGCCAGCCAATAACTTCATTGTATACTCACTTCAGCTCTCCACTAACCATCATGTAAGAGGGAACAGCAGGCTCCAAATGCACAGTTTACAGATACAAATGACAGTTGGGTAGCAATATTGACAAAACATCTTTGAAAGGCTCTCCGCTGCCTGAATAACTGCACGTACACTAGAGATAAGCACTAAGAGGATATCAATTTAAATCTAATCTGAGATCATCTACTGTCACCCACAGCAAGTATGCTAAACTGCAGCATCCAGAATTATTTGGGAGATGTCAGACTAAGAAGCTTAAAGCAAGTTGATCTAATAAGCATTAAAGATGAGATTAAAAAAAAAAGCTAATGTGAGCATCATCATATAAACAATCAAAAGATAATTTATGAATAGAGCCAGAATTGTAAGGAATCCTTCAATACACCAACGATTATATTTACGAAAGCAGAACAAAGCGTGGTGAGAGGTTGCTACCAGCAACACTCCAGATCCAACAGACCCTTAAAGGGTGATCACCAAAGGGGAAAAATGGTCACAATCAGGATTTCAACATGCATAGCTTTAGATGTCTGAAAAGCACTGTTACACATCCATAAGACTGATGAACCACACTTCCAGAAGAAGCCTGTGGAGAATTACAGGGAGAAGCTGCAACCAAATCTTCCTTCCAAGCATAAACATTTCAGGTAGAAAAATGCCTGCTGGAACGTTCACCTTGTGTGCTAAGTATCAGCTTTGAATCTTTGGCCTCAACCAAAGTGACCTATAATAAAAATACATTGAGCTTTTAAAAGCAAGAGTGGGCAAGAGCTGAAGTCTCAAAGCTTAGATTCCTACCCAAGGCTTACCTGCACATACACTGCTTGCTATCTCGTTTGAGACAGAAAATGGAGTTTATCACACAACCTGAAGACAAAGACAGAACACCCAAAGATCTCCTATAGGTCCCTGAAGGTAGAATGTACCCACCTTCACTCCTCAGCTGAGCCCAGGAAACTAAGTATGTGCTTCCTATGGCTGCTTTCAAGGCAGTACATTACGAAGGGATGGGCTGATGTAAAGAGGAATTATCAAAGTGGTGTTTAGATGCTATGTGTGTTAAAACTTTTCAAGTTAATAGCTACATAAAGAGCACCACTGCAGATACCACGTCAGGCTCTAAATACTTAACTACTAAGGAAAATAGCAAAACTTTGAAAGAATAGCAGCATCCAGCATGAGATCCTCTTCTAGAACAATGCAATGAACTCCATTTACATTAATACTTCACCATTCATAGAATCATAGAATGGCCTGGGTTGAAAAGCACCACAATGATCATCTAGTTTCAACCCCCCTGCTATGTGCAGGGTCACCAACCACCAGACCAGGCTGCCCAGAGCCACATCCAGCCTGGCCTTGAATGCCTCCAGGGATGGGGCATCCACAACCTCCTTGGGCAACCTGTTCCAGCTCTGTGTGAAAAACTTCCTCCTAATATCTAACCTAAACCTCCCCTGTCTCAGTTTAAAACCATTCCCCCTTGTCCTATCAGTATCCACCCTTGTCAACAGTCATATCCTTCAAGTACTGAAAGGCCACAATGAGGTCTCCCTGGAGCCTTCTCTTTTCCAAGCTAAACAAGCCCAGTTCCCTCAACGTTCCCTCATAGGAGAGCTCTCCAGCCAGATCATCTTTGTGGCCCTCCTCTGGACCCACTCCATGAGCTCCATGTCCTTCTTGCACTATGGATTCATACCACTTTAGGACTCTCACACTGAATTATGCGCAGGCACTGTTACCTATTCCATATTTACTCATCTTCCTATTGTGATCCTGTTTAAAATACAGCATGATTTCCTTTGTTCTCAACACGAACCCAAAACAAAAAAAAATACTTACGACAGGTCGCTGAAGTCTGGAAAGACATACATGTGCCTGAAGCTGTCAATGGCAATAACTGGACAGTCTGTGGGAGTCTTCTGAATGTGGAGGAGCGGGTGCCTGAATTTGTCACAGTCAGCATGGAGGAAGTTTATTGTACCTTAAAATTGTGAGCAGATAAAAATCCACATTAAGATTTTTTTTTGTTATCCTAAAACTCTCTATAATTCCATAAATAGTTCAAAGGCAGAGACATTAGATAAATACATCATGCAAAACTTGAAAACAGGTTCAAATAATAAGGCACGCTGAAATAACAAATTACCTGAAAGTAGCTTTGGCCACAATACAAACTGAAGTTTGTTTGAAGTCCCCTCAAACTGTTGGAAATCATCTAGATAAGAAGGCTTTCTTAAATAGTTATCTATTAACACTTTATGTTTCTATTTTAATCCTTTCTAGAGGGGTCAAGCTTCACTGTCAAGAAGTAAAAAAAAACAAACACAAATCTAGGACTCAGACATTTGCTTTCACTCTATATTGAGCTCACCTGGAAGAAAAAAAACAACTGTTCCAGCAGTAACAAGTTGGTACAAACCTTTTTCACTTATTAACTGTCGTGCAACCTCCTGTTGGAATTTCTCTAGGCTCTCCAAATCATCCTTCATGTGGAAAAGTATGAGGAAAGGAAGGCCTTCTTCTGTCAGTTCCTGCACAGAAAACAAAAGATATATTACATTTCCTTCATTTCCTAAAGACACTTGAGTGATTCCAGCAATTTTCAAAGCCGCTGAGATTCCTGCCTCAGAAACAGCAGAAACAACATAACAAGGATATTAACTGCTGACCTTTCATCGAAGACACCCAACTGACACAGTTAACCATGTTTCCTTCCCCTTATCACATGCAACAGTTTAAGGACAAGGGTATTTCATTACCAACGTTTCAGGAAAGGATACATGTGCAATGGAATAATTGCTCAAAAGAAACAGTCTGATTCTCAAAACACATCTTCATAGAAACAGCAATAAGGCCTGAACGTAAAATATGCAATGAGTGCTAAATGAAAGCTGAGCATCTGTATTGGACCACGTCCTTTGTTGGTTCACATCATGTTGGTGATTTTGCCTAAGACCATGAATTAGCATCTTTAAGCATTCCCAAGGGGGGAAAAAAAAACCAGCAGAAACTGATGAGGTGGCTGTAGGTGTGTCCTGACTGGTAACTGCAAGTACCATGAGTAAGTTCACAGCTAACACATTACTAAAGGTGACAAACAAATGAATGTCTCTGTTAATCAGGCTGGCTTTAGTTCCCTGAAGGAATGCATTCTTGCCTCCTAAGTACCTTCTAAAGCTCTCTCTCCAAGGACAGACAAGTGTATGAAATACTTAAATATTTTATTCAGGATTTTTATTTTCAAACCAACACAAAGCATGAACTACATATATTTGCTTGCTTAAAAAGTGACTTTCTTAGTGGACCACCCATTCAATTTAGTAGAGAACCAACCGAAGAAATAATTGTTTATCAAAGAAAAGGCCAAAGGCCTTACCTATCTTTGATTAGTGCAGCTGATACACAACCAAGTGCTGCTATTTTTTTTATTCTGCTCTGTATCCAAAGGAAGTCCATGCTTTTTGACAAAGCTAACTTATTCATTCAGCCACCAAAGCTAATAGTTTCTTCAGCTACTTTCTATCTGCAGCAATTTGAAATAAATGCTTTCCCCAACACTATGCAGCCAGTTGCATCTAGAGAACACAGAATAGACAGCACTGTCTTTCCAAGCAAGCCTGCGCATCAAGCCAAGGTTTGGTCTTATAAGAGCAGATTCCAGAGATCCTCATTAGTTCAGTGCTCTTGGCAAAGCCAAAACTTCCCAACCAATCTCTAACTGCTAATCACATCTGCTCATTCTCATTTTTAAAACGAAGTCCCTGATAGGAATGTTTGCATGTATCTTAAAGTGTTCTACAATCAAAAACACAGCTGAATAGTCACATCACTGAGAGCCACGGTTAGTGGGCATAGTGGTGACAGGCTGACAGTTGGCCAAGATAATCTTAGTGGTCTTTTCCAACTTTACTGGTTCTCCGATTCTATATTTTTACTGTACTATATTTTTATAATGTATATTGTGCAATATACATTAAGAGCCCACATAAATGATAAGCAATTTCTACTTGTATAGCATTTATATTTGTTTGGTTAATGGCAGCCCTGAATTTTTTAAACAAATGTTGCTAGGCAAAAATGTCAAATTGGAATTGAAAATATTTGCCTAAAGAAAACAGGAATTGAAGGCTGGGGGAACAAGCAGAAAAGCCAGAGCACAATGCGATACAGACAGCAATGAACTTTGGCTTCTAAGCCTCAAAAATCCAATCTTACTATGGGAAAAGTACACTAAAAATCTTATCAAGCAATTCTGAACATGCTGGCATGTGGCATCTTTCACATGCTGCTTGAGTTACAAAGGAAGAATGAATATTTCTTTAGCAAAACTTTCCAACAGAAGTTAGCAGTATTGACTAGACAGTTGGACTTCAAATATTTTGTGCATCCCCCCCTATTCAGCCATCATGCAAATCAAGTGCTCTGCATGCCCAGGGCATCAGTGCTACACGCACTGACCATTCACTGTAAAGCAATTAAGAAAGGATGTGAACTGAGAACAAAGTATTCTTCCATCACACACTGATTCTTTGGGCTCTAATCCAATGAGGGCCACACACTGCAATTTGTTACAGACCTCACCAGAGTTTACAGCAGATGCTGTGGCTGTGAACAAATGCTCCCTCTGAGGTGCTGTAAGCTTGCTACTTGTTTGTTTTCCCTCTCTTTATTTTACAAAAGAATAATCATAGCAAATTAGGAACAAGTGAAAAAGAAGAGTAAATCAAGAAAGAAAAAAAAGAAAAGCATTGAAAGGATAATGAGAAGAAGTTTGAAAGCATCCATGCAAATCCCATCTTACAGCTAGAAACAGAAAACCAAGGAAAAGGACACATGAACCTAAAAAGGTAAAGAAGGTATCAGTGCTTAAACACACCGCCAAAAGCCATCACACAGTTTCTGTTAAAATTCACTGAAGTATCCAGCTCCAGAGATGCTTGACTGGCTGTTCAGATATTTATTACACAATACTTGGGACATGGTTGATACATAAAAAATTTCCGACTACCAACTTTGACATGAAGTTTTAAATGCTGACTGGCTGTATCTAAAAGTTCACAGCTATTTTACTCTTTCTAACTGCCATGAGTGCAGAAAGCTTGAATGAAATGATTCCAAGTGGCCCCTTCCAACCTCAGCCATGCTGTGATTCTGTGTGAGTACACCAATGTGGATATTTTCTACCTAGACTAGAAACATTTTTCCAGATCAAAATCAATGCTTCTTGCTCATCTCTGAATTGTAAAACAAGTCAATACCTTCCTGTAACGTATGCATTTTGGATGAATAATACAATCTACTCAAGGTGTTACAAACTCACCCATAAAGACACATTCTTACACATACACACTCTTACAGTCTGCGTCCACCCTCTGCAAATCTCCAGGCACTCTGTATACAATCTATATGTGCAAAAACAGCTTTTTAATTAGGTGGTGTAAAAAAAAATATCACAGATTTTCCTCCTATGAACCTCAAGTCTAACTGAAAAGCTCCAGAACAATGAAAAGACGATACATAACAACTATTTTTGGTAAAAAACAAAGCATGCAGATGTTGCAGTGCATGAATTAAAAACCTCAGGAGCCATTTTGGTTCTGAGAAAGAAACCTCAAAAATAGAAAGGTAGCAAAAATTCTTACCTCCCCATTTTCAAATGTAATTTCTCGAACAAGGGGTACACATTTATCTTGTGTCCATGCGTAAATCAAATCAAAATTGGTCAGGGAGCCCAAATACACCATATCTGGAGCATTCTCCTGTTGAAAAGAAAAGTACTAGTTGAAAAATAGTAAAAGTGACATTGCTACTGATACAAAGGTGACAATGCCTATGTAAATACTGAAATCCAATCTTACATAAATATTCAACTGCTGTGCATGCAACACCTCCATAAACTATGTAACAAAAACCATAAGTAAATAAATATGATCCCTTTTGCAATCCACTTTCTGAGATAAGAGGAACTGACTTCAGGTGGAGAAATACTCTCAGTATCTAAAAGAATCTCAGCCATTAAGATGGATATGCAGATATTGCAGATATTAAGCTCCTCCATGCTGACATTATAAAGTCTCACCATAAAGAAAAACCAAAAACCTGCAGGTCTTGCAACTGGTCTTTTATGTTTGCATTTGCAAAGATTGGAATAAATAATAGCTGTTCTTTGTTTACTAGAGTTGTAACCCAGAATTCAGTGCTTCCATTTTAAAATGCGACTACAGCTCGAGTTTTCCAAGCTGCGGGCATGAATAAGCATATATTGATTCAGACATGCCATATAAAGTAGACAGCAGTAAAACATCTTTGCAGGAAACTGTTTCAACCTCTCTTTCCCCTCAGGTTGTGTCTTCCTCTCCTAAAGTGCTTCCCAGCATCAAATTTGAGAAAGGAGCATATGCTCAGATATTATGTTTCTAAAAAGCAAGCCTTGCTTTTCTTCCACAATGATTTTATTCTCAACTATGACAGTTTGTTAACATGCTTTACTGCTTTTCCTTTAGATTAAGTGAACAGCTTTTACCTCCCTAGCGTGCTAAGCTATGTAAGACAGGCAAGTGATAGTCAGAAAATAGCCAGTGATTGTCATTTGTGTTGAGAAATAAGGTGCACCAGATGTTGAGCTTCCTAGATATTTTTTTTAATTAAGATTTCTACTGGACACAAAGTATCTACAGACATGGTAAGCTGCCTGCTTTTCTAAGGAAAAAAACACTGGACACTGAAATTAAAAACATAGGTTTTGTTTTTAGTTAGCAACAAACTGTTAGCGACAAATGAGACTGAGATCTTTTGCATCTTCTCTGAAGCGCCAGTTCCTACAACCCTCACTAATGCTCACTCTCTTCAGTGATGAAATAAAACTAAAATTTGAGATGCAGCAAAATACTGAATGGTCTGTGTGTGCAGTCTCTATTATCTCCTACTGACATATAAAGATAACAAGCAGAATAAAATACATAGTTACACTTACCCCTGGTGGCTTGTAGATTATATTGTCTCCGCTAAATCGCTCTGCTTTTGAAATAGCCCTACAACAAACCAACCAGTAAGCATGTCTTGGTACAGACAAACAAAATAACTAGGTTAGCAAAACTCATATTTCCATTTGCTATCTTCTCGAATTTGGAAGGAAAAATAAAAATAAAATGCGTCCTCTTCAAAGAAACCATAAAGTGATTAAGGAAACCATAAAGTGATAAAGAAGCTTGGTCTGTCTGGATGGAAGGGCAGTAAGGGAAGCTGCAAGGCATGTCCAAGAGATAAGAAGTTTGGAGTAGAGGCATCAAAGTCAAAAAGATGAATACTGGCAGCGTGCAGCTTCTGATCTCTGATGATTTGGTAACGTGCACACCTGGAGAATATATGAAATTTCTCCTTGATATTTAGCTTAGTATTTCATCTCAGTGAATTCCACACCCTGTTTCTGCCATATTTTGTTACTCCTCAATCCCAGTCACAACAGATTCCCACAAAATGATCACTTCTTATTAAAAGAAATAGGGACTGGTATGCATCCAACGTAAGAGAGAAAAAAAAATAAGAAAAGCAAGCCCCAACTAAGCTCTTTTCAGCACCTTCATCCATTGCAATAAGTCTCTTCTCCTCTACCATGCCTTGCTGTCCCACCATAAATCACACTGGCAAAATAGAACCAACTGGCTGCATATGCCTCCAAGTGAAATGAACTATTTCTCTCTTTTCCTTCTTTCATAGGCTAAAAAGAAAGCATGTCAGCCTCTGGGAACTTTAAATAAGTGTTCCAGCTTCTCCAGTTACAGTATCTCTTATATGGACTCAACAGAAGCATTGTAGAAGACTAATTAAGAGGGAAGGGGACAGAAAGGGAAGAAGGTGGTAAAATATCTCAATTTATCTCACTGTAAGAAGTAAATATCCCAGGGTTCTGAATTAACTAAAGAGCAAAGAAAAAAGACATACAAGGCTTATGTTAAAGTACCTAAGTTTCATTCATTTTCTTTCATCCAGTTATCCTCCTCACATCACGTGTGAAAGATGCCTTGCTTAGTACATTACACCTATCCATATTTTCACCAGCTTAGAGGCATGCATTTTAGAACACATTTCAGAATTCCAGACATAACTACTACAACAACACAGAATTAGGCTTTTTTGTAATCACCATCACTACTGAGGTAAACCATTCACCTCCCAATCAATCCTTCCCTCAGTAATAAGAAAACAAAGACACCCAAGTCACCTGCCCAATCACTGCTTGATAAACTCACAATACTCTAGTAGGAAACAGAAGCTGTTGGGTAAGTTTGTTGTGGACCCAAAAGACTCTCTGTTCTTCCATCTCAATAACTGCACTTGTAACTGATTTGTTTCAGATAAGGGAAAGGGAAGACACGATATGAAAAGACCAAATGCCGCAGATATTCCTTTTAAAAACAATACAAATGGAAACATTACAGTTTGTGTTTCATGCCTCCTTGAAGCAATTACCTAGAAAGTTAATCTTCTGGAAAAAATATTGGCCTCACATACTTGCTTGCTAATGTTAGAACAGTTCTCAAGACAAATGTATTTTTTGAAAGCTTGTTTTGTGTTTCTGCATTTGACTTTCTGTGCTGCAACACAACAGCACAAAGCCACTCTCCTCACTTCTACAAAAATCTCAGATTTGCCCCACTGTCATTCTCCTTCTACAAACTCACTGCAGTATCTCTTTGTCAGTATACTCCCTACCTCCTGCTGCCTCCAACTCTTCTCTCACTCACCCCGCTGTGTCACCGCAGATTGCAATAGAATTGTTAGGATCATTTGATTTAAAGTATCTTTAAGTATCAAGGTGGAAGTAGCATTAATACAATTTAAAAACAAGCTACTGTAACTACCTGAAGCCAGAGCAACTTTAACGTAGCAAGAAACAAGTATATGACCTGACACAAGTTGGTTAACGTTTACTGCTGAACTCAGTGTTTCCAGTTCATTTTGGCTTACTAGGCATTTGGACATGACAACTCACATTACCATTATATATTCCATACCGTAATACCTGACAAACTCTGCCCACACCAAATCCAAAACACCTGCCATGGCCCACTGGGATGCTGAGGAAAAACAGCCCAGCTGATTCAGGAGTGCTCCCAAGGAAACACTTCTATTTATAAGCCCAGCAGCAAACACTGTTAGAGAGCCAGGATCTCTCCTTTGGAAGTCCTTTGGCACATAATTCTTACGAAGCCTGAGAGCCGCAGCTTCTCAGAGATGGAAATGTTTCCAGGACTGGTGCCTGGAAGGCTTCATTCACTTGCAAATGCTAACAGCTCCAGGCTAGCAAAGGAACAGAAGTCTGGTGAAGAGAAAAATAATAAGCCTGGTGCAGGATCCTAAGTTACATGAGTGGGTTACAGTAACCAAAGTCCAACTGTCGCACTGTGTATGTTCACTGCTTGTGTCTGAAGAAAAACTAACTCCATAGTATGTACGTTAGGAATAGCATCCAACTACTTGTGAGATACTACTTCTCCTTAGACCCCATTGAAACACAGCAAACTAAAGACTAGCAGGCTTGAACAGCAGGGAGAGATTCTTACAGGTATTGCTACCTCATGATTTCTTAGATATATTTCTGAGAAGAATGAAAAGCCATCTGAGGAGGAAAAAATAATTCCAAATTCTTTTAGTAAGTCAGTCTGAGAACAAGAATAATTGCGCTCATCAGAAACCACATTTGAGATAACAGACAATTCTTCGAAACACAATGGACAGACCGACCTCAGTTGCACAAGATTTGATGATTCTTCCATGGCCAAGGCTGTTTGCACAGTCATAGGATAAATAATTAGGAACTGGAAAGAAAGAAAAGACCAAGACCCCTCTTCCCCCCCTACTCCTCTATGTTACAAATACTTGCATACTCTGCCCCCAAACTATTTTTCTTTTCTTTTCTTTTCTTTTCTTTTCTTTTCTTTTCTTTTCTTTTCTTTTCTTTTCTTTTCTTTTCTTTTCTTTTCTTTTCTTTTCTTTTCTTTCCTTTTCTTTTCTTTTCTTTTCTTTTCTTTTCTTTTCTTTCCTTTTCTTTCCTTTCCTTTCCTTTCCTTTCCTTTCCTTTTCTTTCCTTTTCTTTTCTTCTTCAGAAAACACAGGAAGTGCTTGAGAAGTTTTGTTTAGACAGATGAAACAAACCCTAACCCTTCTACCTTAATCCAGTGTCTTCACTGCTCTTCATTCATTACATCCAGTTCAAAAAAGTTCTAGGGCAACTGTATGTATGGATGATACTAGCTGTTATACCACAAATTCCTGCTCTTGAATTGTAGGTAGACTGTAAACCACTGCTTTCACATTAATGCCCAATCACTTTAAATTGATTGTTCCTGGTACCTTAAACACTGAAAAGGGAGTCTATACAAATTGTGTTTTATTATGCTACTTAAAAGCAAAATGACTTATTTCCAATTTATTCTGATCTCCCCAGTGAACATCTTTTAATATTTTTATGTGGAAAAAAAAACCAAACAAAAAACCCCAAACCCAAACTTTCCCAACTCTTCCCTACTTGTTCCCCTCCAAGGAAGCAGAGTTTTCAGACACAGCTGTCAAGCAAGCCCTCCAATGTCGAAATGATTGACAAATAATGACAAAAAAAAAAAAAAAAAAAAAGGAGGTAAACCAGTTAGATTTCACAAGAGACTGGAAGAACAGTTTTCTTCCTTCTCTTCCTTCACTTTTCTCAGTGAATTTAACTAAGAACACCTAATCTCTTTAGTTATGATACACTGAAAGTATTTAAGAAGTCCTATTAATTAAATTGTATACAACTCATCCACATAATTTCAGTAATGAAGTCATGCAATTGAAGTATTAAAAAAAAAAACAAAAAACTTACCCAAAGGCAGAGAGGAATACACAATCATCGTGTAAAATATTTGCTACTCTTTCAAATGTTCTGTAATTGTCAGAGTCCTTTTGCTCAAAGTACCCAATGATATTTCTTCTGCTGCGCTGTAAAGACAAAGATTACACTGTAAGTTATCTCAAATTATTAAGAACTGTCAATACTCCACAAGGATATTAAATATGGAGATGCTGTTTATTTATTCAACAGTTAACCAACAAGTATGCAAAACATTTCTTTCCAAATGATGCACATTAATACAAAGACTAAAAGATTTTAATCTTCAGAAACATCATTATGAGTATTTTCATAATGAAATATTATCATTTTTTCACATACAAGATTATTTCCAGATGATTAAAATTAAAATAAGTAATTTGGTAGTGGTGTTACCATAATAAGATTAATGCAGTTGAAGGAGGGATGATATTGGAATAATTTATAAAACTGGAGTTAATGTTATTAGTTCTAGCGCAAAATTATCACTCAATATTTTTGAATGGAAAAACCCCCAAGAAGTAGAAGTGTTCTTCAAGTATGTTATCTTTCACATGCTTATACTTAGAAGGAAGGAACCTGAAAAACTTACATCAACAGTATTAATTTCTTCCAAATCCTGGACCTCCCGAACAGGATTGCTCTTCTGCTGTCTGATATAATCTGCTATTGCTGTCACAGACCTCTGGCCCCTGTATTCTCTCTTCATCATCATTCCATTCCGGAAGAGCTTCAGCGTTGGGTATTTGCTTATCCTGTATCTCTGAGCTATATCCGCTACAAAATCAATTCAGAAAAGTGTACCAGTGCAGAAGAACACCAAGCACGGTATGTTACACATCCATACATGCACACAGAAGTGGAGCCAGCAGTCACACGTCATTAAAGAACAAACTAACAAAAATCAAATCACTACAAGAGAGAATGCTTAGCAGCTAAGCCCAGTTCTTAATGCTTTGCCTCACTGCAAAATACTCCAAAGTTCAATCTATCGATTTTGACTGAGAAAAGATTTCAGCAGTTTCTTAGATATCCTATCAGAGCTATTAAGGCACTAACTGTAGTCAAAATTGAGGCAATGAGATTTTTATCTCCAAAATTCATACTAATTTCTTGAGAAAAGACTAATTACCTACCAACGTATTCACTATGAAGTGCCAGATCAATGTCTTTTCCTCCTTTCCAAACCTAGTACTTTTTAGTTACAGTATGCAAGAGTAGCCTCCAAGAAGGCAGAAGAGAGAGCAGTGAGGTGCTGGAACAAGCAGCCCAGAGAGGTTGTGGATGCCTCATCCTTGGAGGTGTTTAAGGCCAGGTTGGATGGGGCTCTGGGCAATCTGATCCAGTACCTGATCTAGCAGTGGCTACCCTATCTGCAGCAAGGGCATTGGAACCTGATGATCAAGCCATTCTATGATACCCTGATAAGCACAGCCATGGAGGCGTCACTTTGTATTTGTTCACCAGAAGAAAAACAACATAGGCAAGTCAGGCATTGCCTCTGCTGCCTCTCTCTTGTTCATACAAGGACCTTTGGTCTGACGGTGTGGCAGTTTATCATAAATTGACCAGGGTTTGATAAAAGACAAGGAGCTCTACGTACCAAGGTTACACATCCAAGCCTCTCATAAAGCTACTGAGATTCAAGACTTCTTATGCTACAAAACTCCACATCCAGAGAACACCAGACTACCCATTTCTTCCCTCCACAACATGAACTTTTTCTTTCAGATACTTCCATTGTCAGATGATGATGCATGCCTTGCAGAATCCTCACCTTAGGAGGTCTTGAAAGTTACCCAAAACAGACCTTTCAGTCCCTAAGGCTGTGAATCTTCATCAGGGAAAGAAGTTGCACAAAGAAATGGACAGTACAGGAATGCCCACTGCCAACACTGAATTTGAACATTGCTTCGTAATGCATGATCTTTATAAATTACAGTGAGATTCCGTGAATACTGGTATTTGAACTAACACAGAGAGATGATAGCTCTGCACAAGGAAGTATTTGAAAGCCACCCTTTCACAGAATATAAAATGCAAGTACATGAAAAACTATTTGAATTCATTCACAAGTCAAACAGAGTAAATCTTAAATGTTTCATTAAACTCTGGCATTTGATACAGGCAGAGTTAGCACAAGACGACCAACTACAACATTACACTCCCTTAAAATTGGAAATACACAATGCAAATACGTGGAGTATTGTTTGAATTCATTCATAGATCACATTAGTTATAGTAAACCCCTAAATTAAATTTTAAAATATTTCCAGGCATTCTTACTGACTGTTTTCTGATGGAAGAAAAAAAAAAAGAAGTGCTTGAAAGAGCTAGATGGGGCTAATCTCCTTAAAGAAAACCAAACCAAACTTGCTTTGCATTGCCAGTCATTTCTAGCTCAGTGTCACATATTCCTCCACTCAAAGAAATGATGAAATCTGCGTTGGTGGGGGCAAGTCAGACTTTTCACAAAGCACTTCACTATTACCTAAGCTACAGCTTCACACACAAATGCAGCCTATGGCTTCCTTCTCAGATGGCTTCAGAGTTCATTACTCCAGGTTAAGATCACAATACACCATTCAAAGAGTTGAGCTAGAACACGAGATCACGTCACTAAGAATCCAAAGTCCACTATTCCTAAATTAAAATTAAAAGTGGAATGAACATACTAAAACCCAGCATGACGACATGCAATTAAATTAGACTCCTACTGACGACGTAGATTAGAAGCTCCTTCTTACAAAAGGATCACTTACAACAATCTGAGTATGATCCCAAGGTTTTTCTCCTCTCTATTAAGCTTCACTTACAGTTTCTTTGCTTGCCACTCTTTCACGAATGTGGCACTACATTCACCTTAATGATGTATTATGAAATACTTCACAACAGTTCCCTCTTAAACCACTCCTCTCATGACTTGCACACAATCATAAGACCTGGCAATATTCATATGAAACAGAGCCAGAAAAGACCCCAAGGGGCCACCTAAATTTGGCATCCTACTCTGATACTACAATACTGGTAACCTAAACAGGTACAGGAAAAGCAGTTGATGTTCTACATCAAACTCAGTTACTAAGAAGCTGAGAAACAGCAAATTCACACACCTTCTGCTGCAAAGGAGCATTCACAACAGCCTTGCCTACTCCTAGCAGAGCCTCATCAGTAGTATCCCATCACCTTCTCTTACGGTCTAACAAAATGGCTTTCCTGAGGAGAGCCATCAAGAGCCTCCCAAACTACTACCACTTTTGTTTATTTTACCCCCTAACAGCTGTCAGACAGGTTACTTCTTTCCTAGCTGAAATAGCAGGAGCACAACAAAATCTGTATATTTGTTTACAGTTTCATTTAACTTCATTCCTTCTTCATTTATGAACTTTAAAACTTATCACACTGAGTTACTTTGCTTAACAAAAGCACAGTAGCAATACAAGTAATTCTTACTTGATTTTTTTAAGACTGACATTAGCACACCTTATAGATCCAGCAGTTCACTAACATGTTTCAAAAGAGGAGTTCCCTATGGAGTCTGCCTAGTAAAACACTTCTCAACATCCCACCCATAAGAAGTTTTCTGTTTTGAAGTACAAAGAATTGATTCAAACTAGTTTTGTTCTTCGGAGTCTTTTGGTGTTTTTTTTTTGTTTTGTTTCTTTGTTTTTAATCTTTCAAGCCAGAAACCACTTTGCGTAAAAGGAAATAACAGTATGGTATATATTTTAATTCATAAGAATTCTGGACCAGAAATCCTAATTTTCAATTCACAGAAACTATTCACAGTTCTCCAGAAACATGAGTCCCTCTGTACTGCAATATTCACTTATTTACAGGGGAAGAGAAACACAGTAATTCTGTGGTATGAAGTGGGTTTCTAACATTGCTGCTTAACACAAAGAAAAAAACAAAAAAAGCACAACCACCTAAAGGCCAACAAAAAACCCCAACAAAGTAAAACCTTCCCAATAACACACATACAGAAAGATTTCTTATGATATTCTAAGGAAAGTCACTTCTTAGGTATTACATGCTTAGAATAAAGGTATAATTTCTCTAGCATAAGTCTTCCTAATTTCAACACACCAAAACCATTGAAGATTTTAACAGCAAAAAATGAAGTGGAACTTAGATACTTATGAGCTGTAAAAAGATAAGGTCTTGAAAACAAAGAACTTGCCTTAACAGATTCACCTTTAATGTATGTTCCACACTGGTTTAATGAGCAAAAATAGCCCAAAGACTTAACGTACACATTTGAATTATGACCATCTCCCAGAATACTGATAAATTAAACCTCTCTATGTGTTAATATTTAGAATTTTATTTTTTTTATCACATTGTCGCCAACTATCGCTTCTCAGAAAAACATCTCTGTATTGCTTATAAGAGCAGACAGAATGCTGGCTTTGTCATTAAGCATCAAACGTTTGGCAGTGTATCAATAATTCTCTTTAATTTGCTTTGCCCTCAGAAGCTGGTGTGAGCTGCTGGGACCTGCGGAGTGCTTCAATAATAGTGCATTAAATGGAAAGTATCTATGCCTAGCTGACCATTTGAAAGCTATTTCTGAGCGTCCTGAAATCAGCTATTTGGGTTCCCTGCAGAGCATTGGTTTCAAAAAGAAACAGATTATTTGTAATGCAAATAATCCACCATCTCTAGATCATCATCTTAACGGCCAGCTACTAATGAAATCTGCAGGCATAAACACCCTGAAAATATTAGCACGTACCTTTTAGTGTTGCTAAAATACAGAAATAAAGCTAAAACAGGAGGAAACAAAACAAAACAAGATAATAATCTAAACTCCAAAATTTAGTAAAGTAGTATAGGTGGTTCAGTGTGGATAAGTATAGTAAAAACTATTGCATACATTAAAATCATAGAGTTAAAATACTTCACTGTTAGGATATAACCAATAACTGTGTGCCATGAGATGTCCCATTGCTTACAACTGGCAAATAAACACTGAAAACCAGGAACAACATATAGGGCCTTATTATTTTAACTCAGAAAGGCAGTGCTACTTGGAGAAAAAGACTCATCTTCATGATAGAATTTTGTTTTTAATTTGCACAACTTACAGTTCGTGCAGCAGAAGACATGTTCATCCATTCATTAAATTAGGAGCAAAAAGACTACAGAGAATCACAATCTTCCAGTACTAAAAAGAGAGATCATAACTCTTGGTTGCCTTATAACCATCTTTAACTATCTAGCCCACTACACTTATCGTAGGGGAGGATTTAATCCCAGATGCATTTATGGTTCCCATGGTCATGAACTGGTCCTACAGATCTTTGAGATGGGACAAAATCTCAGTGGCTGTTCCCAACAGTTTGAAAAGTCAGCTTCAACTACAAGTTGATACTGTTTACTTATTTAAATGTATTTTTAAGCTTGAGATCTCCTTGAATTGCACAAATTAGAGTTCTGTTTTGTTGGGTGTCTACACCAACATACACAAAACGGAACACAAATTGCTGCTAATGGAAGATGCTCAACTGAAGTTACTGGCTTTTACATTTGCAAGATAGCAAAGATACTTCAAGAGAAAAATCCCCTCTAGTACCAAAACAACTAGATCACCAAAATGAGAGAAGAAAAAAGTAAATGCAATCATTTACTTCTCACAAAGATGCAATTTTTTTTTCCATGTTCTTTCTCTCTTTAGAACTTGAAACATAGCACTGAAACACAACAGTCAGGCCAGCGGTAAATCCCAAAGACGTGTTACAAACCAACAGAAATTCATCAGCTTTCCAAGTATGATTGTTCCTGCAGACTAACAACTTTGTAAAGACTAAATATTATAGTTAGGGTCAAGTACAACCAAATCTTTGTTGGGATTCGAGGCCAACTGGCAACTTTCACTACACTCTTGGATTCCTAAACTTCCATAAATAAACTACTGGGCAAACGTTGCTCTTCCAGAAGTACAGAATAGCAAAGCATATCTTACACTAGGAAAATCACCACAATAATCTCAGTGCTACCCATCTGTTTGTCAGTAGGTAACAGATGTTCCTTACATTTTACTTATCATGAGATTAACAAGAAACATTTGGGATTAAAATGATAATAAAATAAGTATGTTTTTCATGTATTTAGGGGAACATACCAAAATAAACAAATATTTCTTCATGTATACAAACAGAAGGAGAACAGCTCTGAAACTACCAAGTATGCAAAAAGCAGCTTGCAGTTCACTACAACTCTTAGAGAAAACAGCTGAGCAAAACATGTGCATCACTCCTTTTTCTTGGCTGTTTTGCACCAGTGCTTCTTGATCCCTGGCCACTTTGCTTTGTAATTACATTCCCTTTTTCTCCCAATAAACAAGAAAGGCTGAACTGATAAAAAGTGCACATCTATGGAGAAAAAGAAAATGCAACACTGGAAATTGCCCTGACAAATTTTGAAGAGGTTCTGTGACACATACCAGCAACAGCCTCTGGACTAAATGATGGAGCAGGTCCAACCACACCTTAAGACTGCTTTCTATTGGCAGGACACCAGAGAAAAACTAAGTTGCGATTTACTTACAATGCTGATCACAGTCCACTCTAGCAAACACTACTTGATTCTTATCTGGGTATTCTTCCTTAATTACATTAGAAGCCTCCTCAAAAATAGGATGCAACATTTGGCTGAAGCGGCACCTGTGGAAAAAAACGCAAGGTTACAATTTCAAAATATTAACTTTAAAAAATTTAATTGTAGATTAAGGAAATATTTGAATAATTCAGGCGGAAGAAGAAATATTCTAGAAGAATACAAAATTCAAGACGTGTTCCCATGCTTTATCAGTTTAAAAAACAACAGTAATCAACTAAGTCTTTAAGAAATATACTCTGATATTCAGAAAGTTTGCTCATCATTCTTTTCCTACCCAAATTATCCCTGGACAAGATCTAATAAAAGATTGGCACTGCTGACATTTGAGTATTCACCTATGATCACTTTCAAGAAATATCAGAGAAAGAACTATACAACTTCTGCTGTTAACCATGTAAGTAATGCTCATTATTTTATTGCTCAAATTTGGTGGAAGTTACATCTGATTTAAACAGACTGCTGTTAGATTACTATGACAAAAGATTTTCATGGGATGCTTGTAGCCATGCCAGATTTTGATGAAAATCTTCTACTTCTGTGCATGAAAAAGGCTGTAGATGTTCATAAATGAGGCCCCAGACATTTTGATGGTTTTGAGGAGGTTAAGGTCAAACCAGTGCACCAGTCCATCATTAACATATCAGTAAAAGAACTTCATCTGTTCTTCCAAACACACAGCAGATCTTTAACTTGAAGTCAAAACAGCACTAAGGAAGTCATCAGGACAAGACCTCAAGGAACACCTCAAAGCAGATCTGCAATAAAGCAGCTTGCTCTGAAGGCTGGCGCGTGGTAGCAAACATTCCAACTACAGAGGAAGGTTTTCCTCTCAAAATACAAGCAGGGCTGAAGCTCATCTCCCAAGACAGACCTGACTCTAGCCACAGCAACTGTACACCATGTTTATTTAGCATGTATATGTTACATATGGCTTCTTTGTCCCTCATTTTCCTCCACCATTACAACAGTACATCCACACTTGTCCTCGTTCAATTCACATTATATCGTAGGCTGACAGTACACAACATTAGGAGTCTAATCCTGAATGTCTCTATATAACAATCCTAATTAAGGCTCTCATATTTTAAATTTACAGCCCAGTATAATGGGAATCAACTTGTAAGCTTAGACAACTACAACAGCAGGGACTGCAGCAGGGGCTGTGTTAACAGAGACCTAAACCAGGACTTTCGTTGTATTTCTCTACCAAGTTTTAAAATACTATCTTCCCTACATCACAGGAAGCATCAGAACACTCATTTTTAACCTGCTGTAGATTGCCTTCAGCAAATAGAAAAAACACCCTTTCAATGGCAACAAATGCTACACTTCAGTGTATTAGAACTACTCTCAAAAATTCTACTGATTTCACTGTTCCTCATGTCAATAGAATTTGAAGGGGTGCAAACAAACTGAAAACAAAAATTGTCTATAAAATTACAGAGACATATGCAAAGGTTACTACACAAATTAAATTTGGTATAATATCTATCATTAAGCAAAGATTAAATGAAAACTTCTTCACCGAAATGTCCATTTTATAAGAAAAAGCAAGTATTATTTTTTTCAAAATCACTTTCAAAATCAATTTAAATGAGCTGTTAGTAGAATGAATGATCAATAAAGGCAAACTGTAACTTTATCTTACATTTGTGCAACTTGCTATTTCTAGACCATACAGACCTACACATACATGGAATGTGAAAGAGGTGAAAAGAATCAGAACTTTAATCCGCTCGATGACCTTTGATTCTGACAGTCAACATTTTGTGCTCACAAAGCAGAACAGCAAGTGGAATATTTAAAGTACAATATTACCTTGGTTTATATATTTGTTTAAGTTATAAAGCTATATACACTCAAATTCAATTTAAACAAGGAACAGAGAAAGTGATTTATTTCTCTGACCTCGTTTTCAATATGAATTTGCATATTAAATTTTATTTCCCTCGAATACTTTACTCATTTGCTTATTGTTAAAAGGTTCTTTTAGAAATACTAATGCTTGAACAAAACATTTAACGTTACTTTTAACACTATCAAAAAATGAAGTATGGGCACTTAAATTCATTCTAACAATGATCTTATAGGCAAGTTAAAAATCAAACAGTTCCCACTAAGTTTGTCTTTCACAGTGACTGACCTCACATTCTTCCCTTTTCTACTTGCTCAAGTTTCACAGAATCGCAGGGGTCAGAAGAGACCTTAAGAGATCATCAATTCCAGCCCCCCACTGTAGCAAGTTCCCTACAAAAGGCCACACAGGTATGGGTCCAGATAGGTCTTGAATATCTCTGGAATGAGATTACAGGCCCTTTATCATCTCTGTGGTTCTCTCCTGGATTCCTTCTAGGAAATCCCTACCATTTTTGAACTGAGGAGCCCACAGCTGGACACAGTAGTCTAAATGTAGCCTTACCATGGCAGAGCACAGGAGGAGGATCACCTCCCTCAACCTGCTGGCCACATTGCTTTTAATGCACCTCAGGATACCACTGGCCTTCTTGGCCACAAGTGCACACTGCTAGTGTGGCCAACCTGCAGTTCACCAGGACCCCCAGGTCCTCTCTGCAGAGCTGCTCCCCAGCAGGTAATCCCCTAACCTGTACTGATGCACGCAGTTATTCCTCCCCAGGTGCAGGACTCCACTCTTGCTCTTGTTAAACTTAACCAGGTTTATCTCTGCCCAATAATCCAGCCTGTCCAGGTGCCAATGAATGGCAGCACAGCCTTCCCATGTGTGAGCCACTCCCCCAGCTCTGTATCATCAGCAAACTTGCTGAGGGTGGGCTCTATCTGTTCATCCAAGTCACTGATGGAGATATTGAACAAGAACAGACCACCCTCAATTCCCTAGTTTTCCACCTGGAAGGCTTTCCATTAGAGATCAATTTGACTTCTTCGAATGTAATGTCATGCTTTTTGTTTACCAGTACACACGTAGGGGATCAACAGGGAGGAAAGTTAAAAATAAAAAAGGAATATTTTGAAGAAACTTATGCTAAAAATCAAAAACTTTAATGAAACCTGTCTTGCTACGAGTTAAAAAAAAAAACACAAAAACAAACAAACAAAAAAACCAGCAGCAATAAACCAAGTTATTCCTTACTACCACAGAACCTTTTATTCTCTGACAAAGGTCCTGAATGAAATGACAACAGAAGAAGGGGAAATAATCAAGACAAACACGTGTGCACACACACACACACACACACACACACACTACAAGACAAATAAAAACTAGTAGGAAAGATCTAGTTTGAAAGCAACGTAGCAGTGTATCTTTAATTAGAATATAATTGCTAAAAATAACAGTTTTCTAAAGGAACAAGTTTAAACATAGCAGAAAGAAAAAAAAACCAAAACTTTTATAACTTACCAATCAGCATAAAAATTAACTAAAGCAACATCTGCATTGTCTGGGAAGGCAAGAAGAAAAGAACCCAATGTCACATTGTGAGGCAAAGTTCTCGGCATTTTAATCTAAGATTACAAAAAATATGCATAAAAAATATAAAAGCTAGAATTTCTAGATTGCTGAGCTCACAGTCTGCTGGAAAAATACTAGGATAAATCTTAGCTGAAATATAATCTATAGCAAGTGGGAATGTGATGAAAGAGGCCTATAGTCAAGCATTTTCTGGATATATTACACATTAAATATGACAATTCTTAAAGCATAAGAAACAAAATAAGTAACATACCAGACAAAATTCTGAATTTACAATGAAGATACTGAAATCCAGAAGCTGTACTCCAGTATCCCTCTTAAACATTACATATTTGCAAGTGCTCAAATAGTTAGAAAGCTGAAGTGTTAGCTGTTCAGGTTAGAAGAATGACAACATGTGGGCTGACTGTGCAACTTGCTCCACATCTGTCTTATTTGTTAAGATACTGGATACAAGGGCAAAATGCAGCAGAGAAACCTTCAAATTCCCCCTCCAACGAGCTAAGGAAAACACTTGAAAAAAATGCAATACTACAGTGATAAGGCAGCAAAATAATGCTCCATTCAATATTTTAAAGTAAAAAAGATTTCAAAATCTGAAAGACACATGCACTTAAAACCTCCTGCTTAGCAATAAACTGTGACCTCTGCACAACAGAATAACCATGCTGTAAACTGATTTTTATTAGTAGTAATGGACTAGATATTGAAGAAAAATTGTAACAAATATTTGAATCATATGGCAGCAATCACATAGCTCATAGAATGGTTCTACATTTTTCAGCATACGAAAAGGTATTTACAGTTTTTGTCTAGTCATACATTTACTACACAAAGCAATCCTGCAGTCGAAGGCAAATTGAAACCAAATAGCTCCTTTGAACACTTCTCATTAAAAAGGATATTTTTATGAATGTACTTGCAACAACACAGGGTTTTTCTTGTTCCCCCTCTCTCCCTTATCCCCCTCCACAAACACAATTAGATACCAACAAATGGCCAAATGGCATCCTTTTCAGACAAGATACATCTGTTTACTTTAAGGCACTTTAAGTATTTTAAATACTAATTTGTGTCTCTTTTCTATGAGCCATTAGAAATCAAGACAACATTTAGCCATTAGAAATCAAGACAACATTTAACCTGAGAAAAAGAACAGCTGAACAAGCAAGGCATTTAATATGACCCACTACCATGCGTTTCAGTTGCTGCTATTTTTTGGGAGCTCTTAAAACACTCTTCTGACAGGCTTTGGCTATTTATAATTGAAAGTTCTCATCTGCAAACAAGACACTTGGTATTTTTCTTAGACACTTCAAATTGTCATTTGAATTATACTGAAGTAATCTGTTAAGCAATACATTAAGTTAGCTGTCTGCACTAAAACCACTATGCAGATTACAATTCATATTCTCAGAGCGAGGGTGTACATATTCATGTAATAACATTGCAAGATTCTCACAGAAAAGTGACTGTATACAAAGTAGTCTGTACACTGTGCAAAGCAAAAAAAAAAAAAAAAAAGAAGATTCAAAGTACTCACTTAAAATGTCATCTATATTTCCGCTATCTAGACTTGTTATTTCACTTCTTGTTGGATTAAAAAGCCAAGACACCTACAAGAGAAACCAAACCAGTCAGGTATGTAGATATTTCAACAGCAAAGCAGTAACATTTCAAAAGCTAGAGAGGAACAAACAGTGAAGTAACTACAAATCAATCCAAGCACACCAGATGATAGCATTTGTCACAAATGCAAAAAAGAACATTGTTTACAGATACAACATTCTTGCATTCTTGCACAGTTAAAACAAAACTGGTCATCTCTTCATATAAGGCTTTATGTTGGTAGAAATTTATGTTGGCAGAAATATTACTGATGATATTTTTACCTTTTAGAAAAACTTCTGTTCTTAAATGTGTTCTGAAGAGAGAAACAAAACCAGCATTTTAGACACTCACCAACCCTGCACATTCCTAAAGAGTGTAGGCCCATCCATTTCACCCAGTGACAAATAATTTCTGATGCTACTTACAGGACTTGTCTGGCTAAAAGGTGTCACAATAGGTAATACTTGCAAACACATCCATTTTTATTGCTTTTTAAGAAAATACAAGGTTGCAGTTAGTTTAATTAGATAGCTCTAATATCTACATGTAAACATATCTCCAGCATCTCATCACTGCCTCTGTATCAGCACATAATTGGCACAAACTTAGCAGACCTGGTAAGAACTGAAGAAACCACATCAGCTGTATCATTCAATCTCAAAGCAACACATTGCTCTTAATGCACCTACCCTAACAGCACAGTTTTATGAAAGGGCATGCTCTCACAATTCACTGCAATAAGCATAGTTCTTTTACCTCAAAATGCAAGGGAGGAAAGTACTAATGTGTGAATTGTAATATGCTTGTACTTTGGAAGAGGTAACTGTACAAGTCTCCGATCACAAAACAAACTCTTGATCTGGGATGCTGACATTTCCTACCCAAGCAAGCCAGTCAGAAAGTCAGCCCCTCTTAACTAGGGCCAAAGCATGGACTAAATGCTCTACTGAGACAGCTTTCAACCTATTTTCTCCAAAGAGCCTACAATCTTTCAGTTGAAAGGGATGACAGGAAAGGGAAAGGAAGGTTTTCAGTAAAGAACTGACAGAAATGCACACAGGTCAAGAGGTCATGCAGAAAACAGAAAATCAAACCAACACAGAATATTCTGAAGGGGCCCACAAGCATCATCATGTCCAACTCCCGGCTCCACACAGCACTACCCAACCCATTCAAACTCTACATCTGAGAGCAGTGTCCAAATGCTCCTAGAACTTTGGCACTTGAGGCCATGCTCGCTGCCCTCTGGTGAAGTCTTTTCCTAATCAGCAATCCAACCAGAGCAGGTTACCAGAGAGCAGAGCGAGCTCAGCACTGCCCCTCTGCTCCCCTCATGAGGAGCCATGGGCCGCCATGAGGCCTCCCTCAGTGTCCTCAAGGCCTTAGGTGTAGTTCTTGTAGCTGCAAAGAAACTCTGCTTCTGACCACAGAGGCCTGAGGGCTGCTTTTACTAAAGACATTGGGACAGGGGGAATAAAGTAAAGCTAACAACAGTATTCAAATCCCAGTGTGTGGAGAAGCTGGAGCACCATAATAAGAGGATCTCAGCATTTCCAGATGAGCCTGAGACCTCTCCTAAAGCAATGCCATGGCAGTGGCTGACCACCTAAGAGTGTGATAGATTGAGGAAACGACTACAAGCAGTGAGCCCCCAGGGCATGCTTGTCTTTGACACCCTTTGCACTTCATCAAGAGACTAATTCAATGCCAAACATCAAGTCTTTCAGCATTTGTCACAAATGCATATCATATATCGACTTCCCAAAAACATTAAACATAGTGGATGTCTGCTTCCATTACAATCAGTTTTAAAAATGATGGGAATCTTTTGCAGTGAGATGCTGTCAATAAGTCTGAAACTATCAATGGAAGCAGCACATAGGTGAGGTTTCCAGCAATGATTTTCAATTCCTTTGGATTTGTGCATCACTAAACACTTCTTGGTGAAGACACTGGTCTCCTTGTATTTCCCATATAGAGACTGCTGGGTAGTACAGAGTCTGTCATACACTAAAGGTTGACAGCTCAACAGCTGCTGTAAAGCAGAACGTCCATCACTGCTTTTCACTTGCTATCTAGACATTATTGTACAAATCTAAGATTCTGGAGGACCTTGCACAGCCCTCCTGTGGCACCTGAAGTCTACCAGAAGCAAAAGTCCAACTGCTGGCTTCTAGATGATGGTATAGAATAAAAAATTATGGTTGAATTCACAGAGGAAAGTACCAGCAGAAGGACACTGTCTGCCATAAAGAATCTGAGTAAGCAAACTGTGGGATGCACAGGTTGTGGCAGCTCAGTATGGGGGAAGCACCTTTGAAAAGCTTTGTAGCTTACTGCAGTCTAATCAGCTAGAAGAGAAAACTCTGCCTTCAGTCCTTGCAGAGGAGATAGCCACCATCAGTACAGGCACCTCGCTATCACCCCTGGCTTGTGAGAAGCATAACAAAAAACCTGTGCTTTGCTTTGTGGAGGTGCAGATAGGAGTACTTACATTTTTGGCAATTGGTCAGTTAAGCCTGAGTGAGTTAGCATACTTTCTTTTTTTTTGGTACACGTTACAATGCATTAGATGTGTGTGTAACTGAAGCAGTAGTAATGATAAAACAATAGTCCAGCTGTTATTGTTAATGTAACAAATAGTATTACTCAAAATTCCTTTTACCGGCTGGCATCTGATCCAACCACAAGTGACTGCAAAATCATTAATGTACATTCCAGGGCTTCAGCTGCCCTGCAAGTTCTCAGAATCCTCTGGCTGTATGTTTGAAGATCACAGGGCTACCCCACCTGTACTGCTTACAATCTCCACCAATGCTTGTTTGCTAAGAAAGACCACACAACCCTCTAGAAACTTCAAATGTCGTATTTTCTTAACATAACCCAACCAGTTAGATATCAATTTCTTAAACTACGTGGCTTTTTCTAACACAAATTTACAGCAGCAGCAGCATTAAACCCATCTAATTGGTTGAACTAAGCATAAATTAAACATAACATAGATAAGCACACCATTTGCAGTCAGGAAACTGGTTGTGTTATTCAGCAGATGTACTTTAATGGATTAGGAACTGTAGTTTAATTTGTAGACTGCTACAATATGCCTCAACTTGCAATGTAAATATTGAACAGCAATATCAAACCGTATGACTTCCTAGCAAATAAAATCCCCTACTATGCTACATACAGAAAAAGTACATTAAAACTAACACTTCTTTACAGAACAAATAAGGTTTCTGGATACTTTATTAACACTTATTTGCAGTAAATCTGGCGCAAGCTACAGGTACTGAAAAACAAATACCCCAGATGTCTTCATATACTGAAAGTAAGAACGAAGTTAAGCTGTAGATCCCACTGCCCCTCCAAATTAAACAGCAGTGGAAAACTACTGAGATTGAAAACTTATTTCCCCAAAAGCTACATAAATCTCCAGGTAACCGAAGTATTTTTCCTACTAGAAAGGTTCCATTTTGTCAAAATATATTCATAATCAAATTCTTAAACATTTTATGCTGACTAAAAAATTGTGGTGTCAAAACTTTCACACTAAGTATACAGAGTCAATGGAAAAAAGCTTTCTTTCAAGAAGTGTCTATAAATATGCAAGCCTCACTCCAGCTCAAGCTTTCATCAACCTATAATGCCTGTAAGGAAGAAAGCACGCCCTTTTGACCCAGTAATCTTGCTGTCCCCAGAGATTCAAGAGAGTTTATGGTATTGCTAGTATTAATATTTAACATGAAGGAATACAGATTCTAATTCAAACTGTCAAGAAGCTATGCTGTTTTGAGAATATCTTCTGACCTTTGATGAGGTCTGTGAATGATAACCCAGGGGCACAAAAGAAAATATTTTTTGAGGAAATGTTTTCTGAACATCAGCTGCACACATTATAAGACAAGCCTTGAACTTACGTTCTGAAAAATACAGTGGCTAACAAAAAAGCCTTTTTTTTAAATTATGATTTTAACTTTAAGTGCAAATTTAGTATTCCATTGGCCTACATCAGACAGACAGACAAGTAACCAATTGCGGTTGTAACTGAGAAAAGAAATAACCCAACCAACTGCACAAGACCACTACAAACTCACTGGAGAAATATAACACTGCAAAATGGTAACTGGTGATATAAGTAGCCAGTAGAAAACAATTCAGGCAGCTGCCCCTGTATCAGACAATTAACTACATTTTGATATGATTGTGCACATTGCTGGAGTGAGATTGTACATGTTTTCAAATGCTAGAGCCACTAAAATCCAAAAAGAGAACTAAACAGTTGTGAAAGTCCGCCAAAAAATAAAGATACAGTAGAATATTAAAATTCTAAATAAGAGTGAAATTGCACAAGTTAGATGAACATTGGCTTATAATTTAACAAAATACAGACTAAAAGAAAGCAAGCACGGAAACCATTTATGAACGCATTGCTAAAAAAAGTCAGGAGCCAAACAACACATTCAGAAAGATAAAACGTAGTTGATACAGGGGGAAAGGAAGAAGAGATGACACACGTGTACACATATTCCTCTTGACATCAGAAACTGTTGAATGTTGTCTGAATAGATGATCAGCTCAGTTTCCTGGAGATTTCTGAAGATAAAGCTGTGGATATTTTTCATTGGGGAAGCTCAGTGAGTACAGAAGTACTACTACTGCTGCTGCCCTAGTTTCTTCTAAGGAAATCTTGAATATTATGCAGTAACACGGCAGAGATTTCTTTTGCATTTGTCCTTCAAACCAGGTACTGCACTGTAAGAACCAGTGAGGGACACAGGTGGAGATTCAGAAATCACAACAAAACTCACTTTAGGTTGGAGCAACTAGTGCTAGGAGCCAGTATGTACCTGTTTCTGAGAATCAACTGCACATTGGTTGACATTTATTTGTATTTTTCCAACAGACCACCTCAAAGCACTGCCGAACAGTGATAGTACCCTCTACTGAGGGATGAGACTACCCAAGTTGCCTTATACAGAACAAAATGTCTGGAAAAAAACCCATC